TTTGATTTAAACTGGTGTTAATATGCTGGCTTTATGTTCTCTCTAATAAAAAAATAGCTCTCGAATAAAATTTTTGGTTATGAAGAGGAAAATGTAGAGATAAGAAATGTAATTTGATTTATCTAGTGTTTTGAAAGTTTTAACGCAATCTCCATGCATGTACGCTATAAAGAATAGTGGAACTGATACAATTTTAATCTACTCTAGTTTTTTAAATACCTATTTACATCTTTAACACTTAATGTACAGTGCGTTTAAACAAGGTGAGTTAATAGTATTTGGTTTAAAAACGTTATCCAAAATAGAAATGAAAACCATTAATACAAAGTTCAGTTTTATCTCTTTCTACGTTGACATATCTTTTGTAGACATGATAGGTAGCTATATCACGTTGCTATTTACTCACCTAGTAGAATATTTCACTTATACAAGTACCTTTATATTTAAAAACAAGTTAAATCTGTGGTTACTCTCCAGAATAAGAAAATAAGTGACTAAATCGAAGTCTAACTGCCTTAAAATCCCTTAAAATATTCACTTCAATCAAATATCTCCCCAAGGATACCACGTGGAAGTTTCAAGATCGAAAGCAAATCGCAGTACTTAAACTATTTATGCTATTCTTTGTTACTTGATGGAAATTAGTGTTTCATAATACAACAAAACACAAAAATACACTACTGTTTTTGTGACGAAGCTGATGTTTCAGCAAAACATTTCGATATTGTTCTTTTGGTTAAATAAAATACATTAGTTTATTTATTTTCCTTTAAAAATAATACAAGTTAGTTATATTCCATCTGTCTCAGTGATACAAACAACTTACTCACTGGAACTAACAATAATAATGCCATAACCACATTTTAAAAGTATAAGATTTAAGAGTATAAGATCAAATATCGTCAGTATTTTTTGGACGACTTTATTAACACCTTGATGGACACTTGCGTCTATAGCCGTCAAAGGGAAGTTTAGTATGTGACATGACGGCAACAGCCGTCCAAAACGTTTTTAGATACAACAGCTAACGCGGCACAAATGTGCATTTACTGTTGTGCAAGCAGAAGTCTAGTAGGCGAGGTAATGAATCAGTAAAAAGTTCAAAACCTACCAAATTTTGCGGTACGATGGACCCTAATGAAACTTTTTGAATTTGATTCGTATGCAAATTGCATTATTAAAAAAGAAACAAGGAACAAGGAAAAAATTACTACTCGGTAGTTTCTGGGTTTATTGAACACGAATATCATGATAGCTGTGCACTCCGAGCGATGGCGCATCTGGCGCATTTTGTGGAAATTCGATACAAAATCAAGTTTGCACTGATTTTGTATCAAATTTCCACAACACTATAGGAGAAGAGATACGCCCTAGGTACCAGGTGCCCTGCAAACCATCGTCGACATGATATTAGTGTTCAGCGGCCCCAAAAATCCCTGAGTGATGAGTTTGCATTGTTTTTGTATCGAATTTCCAAAAAAACTCCAAGAGATAAAGCCCAGATGCATCAAGTGCCGTCATTATATTCATATTAAATAACCACAAAAAGCCCCCAGTAGTATATTGCCTAATCGTATCCCATAAAATGCGCAATAACCAAGTATTAAAGCCCACCAAATTTCATTAGCATATCTCTACCAGTTTTATGACAATAAATAAATCATTATGTAATTCGTAAGAAACATTTCAACACCTCCTATCTCGAAAAAGGAAGCATTTGCAGACATACGTTTATATAGCAAACTGTCACTATTTTTCATACAGAATCATTTTTAAATTTTAGACATTTTACAAATACATATCATTCAAAAAAACTAATAACTGATAGTTTGAAGAGAACAATATTATAACCACGCCGAAATCAGACATATGGAAAGTCCAAATGGAAAGATAAACGGGATGTGATATGCCTAACATCTGCTTACAAACCAAGTATGATAAACACAGCTGACTGGTGACAACAAGAAAAGAGAAAACCATTTAAAATAGTGAATTATTCTTTTTCTTTCTCTTTATAAGCAATTCTCATTGTTCATTGGTAGATTAATACCTCTATGGAAGGTTGTCAGTCCATTTTTTGCGCGGTCGTCCGATAGTTCCTTTGCTGATTGGTGACAGTACTCTCATCTCAGTCTTTGCGTTGTGGTTGCGTCGGGTCTTGTTTCTGATTCATTTGTCATTATTGGTCTTACACTGGCTTTATAAATTCTTGACTTCATCTCAGTTTAATATGTCTGTTTCGCCATATAGTGTTATTAAGACATTCTGCCAGTCTATTTGCTTTTTTGTGCTTGATCCTCACTTTTTGTCCAGTCTCCATAGTTAGACAGTGTAATTCCAAGTATTTTATTTTCATTACTTGTTCAATACTGATGCCATCAATTTCTATTTTACATCTGGTTGATTCTTTGCTGACTACAATTGTTTTGGTTTTCTGAGATGAGATTGTCTTCTTTTTCTTGTAGTGCCTATCCGTTTCGGATGTTGGCGACCATCATGGCAATCTGCACTTTGCACACTGCTGCTCTAAAAAGATTTGTGGTTGTTGTGTTGAACCACGTTCGTAGATTTTTCAGCCAGGAAATCCTTCGCCTTCCTGGTCCCCGTTTTCCTTCTACTTTTCCTGCAAGATTAGTTGCAGCAGTCCATATCTTTCGCTGTTCCTCATGATGTGACCGAGGTATTCGATTTTGGCTGTTTTTATTGTGGTTAACAGCTCTTTTTCTTTTTTCATTCTCAACAGAACACCCTCATTAGTAACGTGGTCGGTATACGATATCTTCAGGATGCGACGATAAAGCCACATTTCAAAAGCCTCAATTTTCTTGCAGGTGGCGTCTGTGAGAGTCCATGACTCAACTCCGTACAACAGTATAGGAAAGATGTAACATCGTAGTAACCTGATTTTTATGGGCATTGATAAATCATGACATTTGAATAACTTAGCCATTTTTTGAAATGCAGATCTTGCTTTCTCTATTCTACATTTGATTTCTATGGAATGGTCCCAATTTTCATTGACGTTCGTACCAAGGTAGGTGTATGTTTTTACTCTTTCTATTTGTTGACCGTTTACACTGATTTGTCCAAATTGCTGTTCCTTCTTAGAGATCATCATGCATTTTGTTTTCTTAGTATTTAGTGAAAGTCCGTATCTCTGACTGACCTCTGTGATTCTGTTCATTAACTCCTGTAGGGTTTCAGAACTGTCAGCGAATACTACCGTATCGTTCGCGTATCTAATGTTATTGATAAATTCTCCGTTGATTCGAATTCCGGCTTCAACATCACCCACTGCTTCTTGAAAGATTTCCTCAGAGTATATGTTAAACAACAGTGGTGATAGTATACATCCCTGACGGACGCCACGTTTGATTTGGATATCGTCGGATTCTCCTGCCTCTGTTCGGATAGATGATGTTTAGTTCCAGTACAGATTGCCATGTATCTGATAACATGTGTTATCAGATACATGGCTGTATCTGATAACACATGTTATTATTTTAGTCAAATGAGATTGTCACTAGAGTATAATAGACCAGCATTTCTGTCTGATTGACATCTTCTATATAATAGAGAGGTTCACTTAAATATTATAAAAACTATCGAAGATTTACCAAAACAACAAAAGTCAGAATAGATGGACAACTTACAGAACCTATAGAAATATGCAGCGGAATAAGACAAGGGGACTCATTGAGCCCCATGCGCTTCAATTTAATCATGGATGAAATAATCAAAATGTTAACAAAGGAAGAGGATACAGACTGGGAAACAGAAAAATAAAAATACTCTGTTATGCAGACGATGCAATATTGATAGCCTAGGATGAAGATAGTATGCAGAGTGCCAGGTCGATCCGGAGTATTGATTTTTGTCTATAAAAATGGAAAATCTAAATCTGCAGAACCCCTTGTATTGGATGATGGCAAATTTGGTGGCAAACTGAAAACGGTTCTCTCAAAAATACAAACTTTATATGGATGCTACCGATTTGTCAAGACATATTAAATTTATTGTTCTCAAAGTCTCTGGAACCTAACACAAATGTTGTTATATACAATTAATGTCAAAGGAGGCGGGAACCAGCACAAATATTATCACAGCACGAACCCTTAGGTCATAATTATATTTTCAGAGATGAGCCTAATAATATTGTTCGTCGCAATATACTTAGTAGATATTAGAGAATCTCTAAATAAATTTAAGTCACATCCATCTGTAATACTTACAGATACCAATGATGTAGATTCAGATCAAGAACCCTCATCCACAACACAGCTGACAATGGCCAAATTACCTATCCAACCATATTGACATCGAAAGGAATGTAACTAAACAGTCGGATATTTGCAGAACTAGATCAGGTAGAGTTGTTAAACCTCCTTTAAAACTAAATTTGTAAAAGAGGGAGATGTAATATGTGTAACTACACAATGTTAAAGTGGTTGAAGTGTTAAATGGTGAGAGAAATGACAGTAACCACTCATCATAGCTGCCACCAGGATGCAAGCTAGCTTTCCTTGACAGAAAGTAAGGTTATGGGTTAGGAGGTGAAGTTTTAATAAACTATGAAATCAAGGCTTCTAGTTTTATTTAACTGGAGTTATATCTTACAGTACCAAAGTAAAATTTGAACCAAAATTCTTTTTAGTTAGTAAAATATCGCTAAATGAAGTAAATCTCTCATGCTTATTCCCTTATTTCCTTATGCGGAGTCATTGGTATGTTAAAATAATTTTAAGTTAAAAACTTAAACTGAATAAGTTTTTCTTAGTTTTATCTTATATACTTCAAACAGATAAATTAAAATCCATTACATAAACATTCACATAAAAGTACAAGATAGTGAAATAACGCCTTTCTGCATATTTGCTCTTTTACGCCATTTTTGATGACTAAACCTTTTTCAGAAATTTTAGAGTATAAATCAGTCTCATATTTTAAAATCTTTAGTTCTACAAAGACTTTGTAAAAAGTGTTTTAGATTTTTCTTATCCCTATATTTCATTGTCATGGCAAAAATTAATTTTACTTATATCATTATTAGCTAGTAAGTCTATAGGTTTGCCGTGGATGAGGATCTTCTGGATGCAGCCTTCGAAGCCTTTGTAGTATGAGCTGGGTAGGCCTAGTGGTAATGTTGAAGTACCTCCTAAAAACAGAATAAATAAGTATTTAGTCAATATCTTACTCGAAAAAGAGGTGAGATACATGGTAAAAAAAGAAAAACAATTAATAATTTATTTACTTAATCAATACATCCAACCTATTTTACACCAAATGCCTAATCTCGTTATAGTCTAGTCCTCGGTTTTCTGCCTCTTGAATAACTTACACATGTCCAAGGCATAGGCCAAATTCTTAATTTTTTAAGATGTTTTAATTACTCCCTTTAATAATTGTTTCTATTAGTTTAGTCATTTGTAAAACTCTTATCTCAATAGCTGTAATTTTTCTTTTGTTATTATTTATTACTACCCATGACTTACTTCCATAAACTAATCTCTGACTTGCTTGAGTTTCTTCTTATCTACGTATCTTTTTGTTTCCAGAGAATGCTTTACATAGTTATTTCTTTCGCCTATTCATGGTGTGTAAAATGATGTTTGGTAAACCTTGATCCAATAATTAGAACTGAAGATATTGCAAAATTAGTGAAAAAACTTGCAAAATTACAGCATTTTGAAGATTTTTCACTTGTAACTCGACAGAATTTTAATGGATGTAAGTCAATCCTTCCTGGATATAAGCAAAGCCTTGGCTAAACTGTGGCATGAAGGACTGACGTACAAAATGAAAGATTATGGATCTAGCGGGACCATGATGAACCTCATCTCCTCGTACCTAAGCGACCGGAGGTTCGGGGTCCAAACAGGACCAGTTCTAAACCAGATCTAAACACAGAATCCCGGAAGCTGGAGTACGGTAGGTGGCAGTCGTATCACTCCTCCTGTACAGCCTACACACAGCAGATGTTCCAAAAATATCCGGAACACTAATCAGCCTTTATGCAGACGACAGTGCAATCGTGACAAAACATAGGAACCTGGATATGGCTCTAAGAACTCTACAGACGGCACTGGATATGATGGAAGAGTGATATGCATAAATCCAGAAAAGATCCAAGCGGTTTATCTTACAAAATAGAAGAGAAAACCCAGAAAAACAGCTAACAGTCAAAACAAACCCATTGAATGGCAAAATTAAGTACCTAGGAGTAACCATGGAGTAAGGTTTTACATTCACACCACATGTTAACGCGACAGTCCAGAAAACATCAACGGCCAAAGCTCAATAAGAGGACTGACAGGAAGAAGAAGCAAATTAGTTATGAAAGCAAAATTAAGGCTGATAAATAGCATCACACTACCAATAATTACATATGCATCTCTGCAGGTTGACATAAAAGTCACAGCAACAAAAAGAAGATTCCCGCAGAATACAAATAAGGGTACTGGGTATGATGGTCGAAAAATCAAGAACAAAATTCTCTGAAAATTCGCAAAAAACACAAAAAACGGCTTTGGTCACCAAAAAAATAAATGAAAACAATAACGAAAGGCGCAAGCCACAAAAAATACTAAAAAAACCCAAAAACGGGCAAGAGAACCAAACTGGGCGTAGCCTCATTTCATGACAGAAACTTTACTTACCTATCCAAAGTTTAGAATTAGTTCTAAGAGCAATGGCTCCTGTTTTGGCAACTCCTTTGTTTGTATTATGACCATCCACAGAAATGAATCCCATTCGTTTTCTGCGTCTTACTTGAATTAAATGCCATTCGCCATCATCAACTTTAGTGCGTGATCTGAAATAGAAATTAATCAATTTTAACTAACTTATATATTTATATTTAAAATATTTAAAGCTATAATATCGAGTTAATGTAGGATATGGGACTGTTCCTCTGCATTTGATAAGGATATCATCATCATCATCTTGGTGCTACAGCCCTTAGAGGGCCTCGACCTTCTCAAGCTTTCTACGCCATTCTGTTCTGTCCCTTGCTTGAATTTTCCAGTTGCCGAATCCGATCTTCTCCGCATCTTGTGTTACCCCATCCATCCACCTCAGCTTTGGTCTACCCCGTCGTCTCATTCCCACAGGTTGCGCTGTTAGAATCTTTTTTATCATGTTCGATTCAGGGGCCCGGGCTACATGTCCTGCCCACTGCAGGCGGTTTCGCTTAATTATAGTGGTAATATCTTTACCACCAAACGTATGCTTGTAGATATTCTGCAGTTCGAAGTTATATCTACGCCTCCATATTCCGTTCTCACAGACCTCTCCAAATATATTGCGTAGTACCTTTCTTTCAAACATGGATAGAGCGGATTCATCTGTTTTCGTTAGCGTCAATGCCTCTGATCCGTATGTAAGAACGAGGACTATCAGTGTTCTATACAGCCTTATACGATTTTTTTGAGACAGACGTTTGTTAGCTAAGTACTTTGATAGACCATAATAACACCTGTTTGCAATTATTATTCGCCTTTTTATTTCCTCAGATGTATTATTATTGGGGTTAACCGATGTCCCTAGATATATGAACTCATTGACTGCTTCGAAGTTTTGGTCATTGATGATTAAATTTGTGTCAACATTTCCAGCTCTTGTGTTTGTGTTAGTCGCCATGAATTAGGTTTTATTTTGATTTATATGTAACCCCATTCGTTCTGCTGCTGCTACTAGCTCGGTTAGGATTTCCGCAGTTCTCGCCCTAGTTCTTGTTATAATGTCCACGTCGTCTGCATATGCTAGAATTTGGACTGATCTATTAAATATTGTTCCCCTGCTATCTAAATTAGCGTCTCGTACAACTTTTTCTAAGGCGACATTAAAAAGCTGACACGCCAGCGCATCTCCCTGCCTTAACCCCTATGTATTTGAAATGGGGTTGACGAGTCGTTTTGAATTTTTACTGCTGATAGCATCTTCGCTATTGTCACTTTTATCAAACGTATGAGTTTTTTTGGAATTCCTAACTCATTCATAGCGTTGTAAAGACTTGGTCTTAAGACACTGTCATATGCCGCTTTAAAATCGACAAAAATATGATAGATATCTATGTTAAACTCTTGCTCTTTTTCGAGGATCTGTCGTAGTGTAAAGATCTGGTTAATGGTTGAACGTCCAGGCCTGAATCCTGCCTGATATTCCCCTAGAAACATTTCAGCATAAGGCTTTAATCTCTCGTGCAAAATATTTGATAATATCTTGTATGCTGTATTTAGGAGAGTTATTCCGCGGTAATTATTGCATTCCAGATTTGATAAGGATAACCTAGAATAATTTTATTTTATTGACTTTAGTTCTACATTTTACTGTCCAATTCTGATTTTTCACTAGATGTTAGAGTAGTCTTGTTGGTACTACTGCGTATTTATTATATGTTTATTATCTTCAAAGAAAGCTGTTGTTTGGTTCCTTATTGGAAGGTCACGTGTACCCAGAAGCATAACATAAAGAAGATGATCAAGGACATTGCCTCGTGGTACTCCTGATTTAACCTTTGTGTTTTCGGTTGTTACCTATTCATATATTTTAACATCTTTTTTTTATTCAGGATTTCCTATATATTTTATTCCCTGATATACTGCCTGCTAGGTGCGAGAAATTTGTTTTGCTTAACGAGAAGACCATGTAGACAGACCTTTTCAAAGGTTTAACTTATATTAAACAAAACCAGATAAGGAGTAATGTATAAATGTATATAATGTATAAAAATAATTTACACATGTATAAAACTTTAAAATTGATTTATCAGTTTTTTTGATCGGTTCCTAGGACAACTTTATAAATAATAATACATCTGGTTAGCTGGTGTTTGGGGTCATCATATTTACTACTCGTGAAACCGATGACCACTAAACATAAGCTAACCATAACAGAGCTTTAAGTATGGTTCCACGTACTATATTGGAATAATTTGTCTATTTTTTGTATATATGTTGGCAATTTGTATTTTCAGCATTTAGTTTACCGGGGACCGGAAAATGCATAGTAAATTGTAGTATTCGAAACCGGTCGTTCGTTTTAGAATAAATTGCTTGTGAGTAAATCTTTGTATTTTATTTATCTTTACCTAAATTAATATTATTACCTTATAGCCCAGAATGGTTCGTTATGTCCCAAATTAAAGCTTAGTTCTGGATATCCGTCTACTATGGCAATGGATAGATAGTTTTGAAGCTGATTTCTATTCTTACTTCTCCATAGTATTAGTCCTTCAGATCTAAATGTGCGTATCTTGATTTCATATCTATTACCACGTTCTGGTTTCCTTCTAAAATTATAAAAAAACTTAATGCATACTTCCAAGTTCTTTTAAAATACTTACAGATTGCTAAAAAACTTTCACATAGCGGGTATAGATTTAAAACAAACATACCAAAACAATATAAAAAGTTCTAAAAATTTATTTATACCAATTATTGTCCAATATGAAGTATTTTTACAAAATGAAATTTGTTTCTTAAAAAAAATCTATAAACTAATGTTTGGTAAACCTTGATCTAATAATTCAGACTGGACGTATTGCAAAATTAGTGCAAAAACAGTGCAACATTGGGGCATTTAGGCAATTTTTCACTTGTAAGTCGGTTGCATCATGAAATATTATTTATAACAAAGTTATAACAATTATAAACGGGTATTTTTTCATTTTAATTACAATCACAAATTAATCCCTTAATTAGTAATCTAACATTATTCTTAACTTCTTAACCTTTTATAGTTTCACCGTGCATAATTAAAACATTGTGAAAGATATCGTGTAATATTTTAATAATTAGAGTCTGTTGACTTGCATATCTGCAACTTAATAAATTGCCAATAATATATTTTCTAATTGAACTTCCTAAGTGTTGCAATGGAATGGTTTCTCTTTGGAAAATATAGATAAAGCCATTCCTGTGTTTTACGCTGCAGTCAACACGGTCCTGAGTTCGTTCCTCCCAAAATGGCGGCTCTGTACTTTTATACTTTAAACGCGGCATTGGAGAGTTTCCCTGCTGATTTATGTCTATGTTGTACCCGCGCACAACTACTTTATGGCATTAAAAAATTTAGATTAATTTAGACATAAATACTTAATACATAAAATTCTTCGTCTTAGAATGCGTTATACGAATATGTAACTTATTAGTTATAATATAAAGTTTTAGTATCTAAAAACATCAAAAACAAATTACATGCCTTTTTTAATAAAAAATACCCGTAATTTTTAAATGTTTCTGCAATAATTTAGTATTCTGTATGGCATGGAGGCCTAGACGCTGACGGAGACGCTAACGAGGAAACTAGAAGCATTCGAAATGTGGGTGTACCGACGCAATCTTCGTATATCCTGGACCGAACATGTCACCAACATAGAGGTACCTACTCCAAAGAATCGGAAAGGAGAAAGAGATCGTGAATACAATTAAACAAAGAAAGCTTGAATATCTAGGCCACATATTGAGACACGATAAGTACCCTCTGCTACAATTGATTGTCCAGGGAAAAATAGACAGTAAGCTAGGGGCAGGCAGGAGAAGACACTCGTGGCTCCAAAATCTGCGGAAGTGGTTCGGGCTCACATCGGTCGAACTATTCAGAAGCGCCGCAAACAAGATTAAATAGGCCATGTTAATAGCCAATGTTCGCAACGGACAGGGCACTTGAAGAAGAAGAAGAAGCAATAATTTAGTAATATCTTCGGTTCTACTTATTGGATCAAGATCAAGGTTTACCAAAGATCATTTTGTAGGTTTTTTTAAAGGAAAAAATTCCATACAGTAGAATAATACAGACATAATAATAACAATATTCTTAAATCTTAAAGCTCCATTAATTACTACATTAATAATTTAAATGGTAATAGTTTAAACGAGTTAGGATAAATATGAAAAATATGTAAGGATGTAATTATTATTAAATATAATAAACAAATGAAGATAGGTGAGTAAAATATTCTATGATCCAACATTGTCAGAAAAACTATGATGTATGCTAGTGAAAGTTGAGCAGTAATAAATGTTATTAATGATTAAATGTAGATTAATAGGTGGTTAAATGTTAGTCAAAGTACTTACAAAACTTCTAAATCTTCTACGTCATAATCAAATGTATGTTCATCTAAAAAATCGTTGTCATGTTCGATCTCTTCATCTTCTATAGTTTTGTTTTGAATTTCTTCATCGTTGTCAGTAACGTTCGTTAAATTTTCGCTATTGTTTAGTAAAAGGGTTAGTATTGTTAACGTATTAATTAAGTTTACTAAGAGTAAAAAACAGAGTATAATGAAGTAAAATGATCAATCCATGCATCAATTTATTCGATGTAGAATAGGTTTACTAATGACAGTAGGTTTCTGGTAAATAACACCCTCCTCTTAAATACGAATAGTTTTGAGTTGAACGGTTTTAATCTAAATTAATAATTAAGGCTCTTTTATCGGTACACCAAAACCTAGATACAGTGTTTTCTCTGTTATTTACCGACAAAATATCTCGAAATTTGGACACGTTATTCAAAATTATGTTGCCTTTAAACTGATGGTTTTACTTTTTAATTTTTTTGAAAGTTCTTTTGAAATATCGGATTATACAGTTTAACGTTCTATTATAACCAAACTTTTTACGCCCATCACTTGAAAGAGTTTTTTTTTCTGTAATCGTTGGTTTTTTTTTCACCTTTTTATGTCCAGTAATAATCGAGAAAAGCGTGTTCAAACTTTGAAGAAAATTGCTAAAAAATACTGAAATCTAATAGTGAAACGTGTTACTCATCATTGGCATTTAGTTTCACCGTTATCGGCTGCGTGACGTCAAATCTCATGAACGTACGGTCAGATAGTTTGATTTGAAATCAATTTCAAGCTATAACTGCGAAATTGTTTATTTGTTTGTGACAACAAATTGTATTTTTTTTTGATAATAATATTTTTATGTTATTTTAAATTTATTATAAATAAACACCATGATGTTTTTTGCAGTCACGTTTCACAAATTTATATTCAATACTATATTTAGCTAAGACATATAAATTAAAAATGTGATAATTATTTTTAAAACATCTACGATAATCAAACAAAAAAGGTATTCCCGACAAAAGCAATTTGAATGGAGAATAATGCATTTGTTGTCATTAAACCACCCGCCGGCCGGCGCCACTGCGAAAACAGCTGTACCCGTCGTCGGCTGGCGTAAGCAGTGAGGAAAAGTAAGTGATACGCCCATTTCAAATCGCAGTGTGTTTTGACTGCTAAAACAGCCTTAAGCCTGCAGAATAATACCTCAGAAAAACTTGAAAAAGTTTTTTACTCTTAGTACATATTACGTTTGTTAGATTTGCTTTTAGTAGATTTAATAAAAAAATTGTTTTATTACCTTCTGTATCCCCTGTTTGTATACTGAAGATATGTCGCGCCGTTTAATTTGATTGAAATATTTTCTTCATCGACTGTAAGTAAAAAAGTGTTAATTTTAAATTAATACTATTTTTATTAATTCACACATAATGTTAATCTATCTTCAGAAATTTTAGTATTTTAAATTAAACAAATAAGTTCATTTTTACAATACAGAACACAACAAACACAACAGGCATACAACCACTAACAACGAATCGGCAGAGGTGACGACAAACGAAGAAATAAATGAGGAGGATGAGGTAAAGGAAGCATTAAGGAAATTAAATTAAGAAAATTAATAATAACTAAAGGATAATAATTTAAAAATTAAGTCAAATTATGAGGTAACCCTAATTTTATTCTCGATGAATATTAGATTTAAGGTGATATAAAATGAACGGATTAGATACTACCTTATAAGTAAAGCACTCTAAAATGTATAATATAAAAAAAAACTTGCTGACTTACTTGTTTCACAGTATCGACCCTTGTATTTTCCATTACATTTACAAGTAAAATTGTCCAGTTCTGGAACGCATATTCCATTGTTGAGACAGGGGTTGTTACCTGGTGGACAAGGTGTGCCTTCGTAGTAGGCAATATTGAAAACGCAATGGGAATCGTTCTGTGGAATTGCTGGTGTACAATCTGGTAATGGACTTGAAATGTGTAGTGGAATGTGATTAAACGTGACTTTTTGAATAATGCCTTTAAAACCTTTTGAAGCTCCTGAGAGTCGGTGTATTTGTTTCCAATTGCTAGAATTGAATTTATTTATTCAAATTTAAAAAATAAATTTTGTTTTTAAAGTGTCAAAATGCTTAGTATCCGGTACAATAAACATCAATAAATATTAATAGGATAAGAGCACGCATGTGTATAAGAGTACGCACCTATTATGTTTAATATATATCGCCATCTATTAAAGTAATTTTTACTTGAAGGCATTCTAAATACATTCCTACTGCACGGTCAGAAACAGACATCTGCATTATCGTTCTAGTTTTGTCAATATGGTCGCTGTAAATAGTTGCCGTTCAGATTTATAATTTTGTGTGTTCACAATTATTTAGTCAATTGAGAGGTAAGCAAACCATCAGTTTTGTATAAAATAATTTTAGAATTCATTTATATGAAATAGTGATCGCTTTAAAAAATGGGCTGTAAATCTATTTGTTTTCGTAATGTTTTAAGCTTTCTTTTTATTTTCAGATTATAAATTCATAATGAGTCGGTACAAGCGAAAAACCGATAGAAAGTTAATTTTTACTGAAGAAAACTAACGAGAAATACAGCAAAAATTAGAAGCAGGATGTAGTAAAAGAAGTGTAGCAAATGATATAGCAATAAATGAGGCCACATTAAGAAAAAGATTAAATGTGGAAATGTATCAAATTCATTGGGACGATTTCAATAGGTATTCCAGGCGACCTAGAAGCCGAATTAGCACAACAGATAAGAGAATTAGATCAGATGTTTTATGGAATTAGAAAAAAAAATTGCAAATAGAGCTTATAAATTTGCTGAATCTAATAATCTTTCTCACCGTTTTAATAGAAATCTACAAATGGCTGGTGAGTCATGGGTAAGAGGAATTTGTCAGCGGAACAAAATTGCGCTTCGACAGTCAGAAAAATATTCCATGGCCCGAATTATGGGTTTTAATAAAAATGAAGTTACAAATTTACGATAACCTTAAAAATCTTTATGAACTAAAGCCATACCCTCCAAGTTCAATATACAACATGGATGAATCGTGTCTAATAAGTTACCCAAGACATTAGCGAGCAAGGGAAAGAAACTTGTAGGGAAGGTGCAGATCGTGGACAACTTGTAACGGCTGTATGTTGGTATGAACTCTACAGGTAACTATATTCCTCCAGCACTCATATTCCCCAGAAAAAGAATGAAGGAAAAGCTGTTTTTAAATGCACCATGTGGAACTCTGAAATTAATTTCTGAATCTGGATATATGAACATGGATCTTTTTTGTAAGAGGTTAATCCATTTTAATAAGTTTGCCAAACTCAGTGCTGAAAACAAAGTTCTTTTAATTCTTGACAATCACAGCTCCCATCGTGACCTGCAAGCTGTAAAATATTGGCGAGAGAATCACATTGACCTTTTATCTCTACCGCCTAATTCAAGCCATAAACTACAGCCACTGGATATTGGTTTTTTTGGTCCTTAAAAAACCTACAGTAGTGAATGTGACAAGTGGGATGGAAAGTAATCCAGGTAAAGCAATTACACAAATTCAAGTTTATTTAGTACTGTAGCAAATATTCAAAAGGCCGAAAATTCTTTCAAAGCATCGGGAATATATCTGTTTAACCCTGATCAGTTTCATGACATGGATTTTGCCCCCTCCTATGTTACCACGTACCTTTGGCAATCCAGTAAGCGCGTAGTAGATAATACTTCAATGAGTCGTGTGAAGAAAAAATAATGGACTTCAACCATCGAAGTAACCTCTTCACAGCAGCCTGAGATTGAAGATGATCTAATCTCTTTTCACGATACACCGCCTCTCGATGTGGCTAATCTTGATATCGAATACGAAGATGGTGTATTAATACCATCACAAGCTAGCACTAATAGCTTAAATATGTCAGTATCAGCGGCAGAGATTTTACTCTTACTCAAAAATAAAGAAAAGCCTAATCGACGCAAAACAAAATCTTAAAAGTCCGAAATACTTTTCAGTAGCCCATATACAAAAGAACTTAAGAACTTGGAAAAACCAAAGAAGACAATACCTGCTCTATGCGAAAACTTACTTTTTACAGGAGGTAAATAAACTTTTGCGTCGCCAAGTTGATATAAACACGTTTTAAAGATTGTTTAAGTTGGGAAGCGAAAGACTTTTAAGAATCATATCACTCTCGCTGAGGCGTTTGTCAAAAGCAGTTGCTTACAGTGTCAGTCCGAATTTTACTTCAAATTCGTAATGTTTCTTGTTTTCGTCCCTTTTCATGGAAAATATGTAGTGTATAGTAGCAGTTCAATGTGTAGTTGCAGTTTAAGTGAGGTTTGGAAGAATCGTTGTTTCCATCCTCGTTTTGTTTCTCCCTGGTTGTCATCCCAGGCTTTTTGGCAGTTTGGAGATGAATTTGTTCGTGTGTTCGTTACGCAGAGAATTTAAGTCCAGTTTCTATCCCCAGAAATTCCAGTGAAGCCCAGTTCTACCCCCAGAAATTCCAGTGAAGTTCAGTTACAGAAAATCTAAATTAGTCTAGTGAAACTCAGGTAACTTTTTTTGTTTGAACTTTTAAAGTGAAAATAGACAATTTTTTATTAATAATTGCTTTTATAATGTAAAGAAATTATAATAATTAAAATTATATGTCTTAGGGCGTGACTTAGCTGTCATTTTAATTGTTCTGATTTAAAATTTAATGTTAACATATGACAGCTAGCTTTATTATTTTTGACATCTGATAAATACCTAATCATATTTGAGATTTTTTATTTTGTTTTTTTTTTAAAGAAGGTTAACCTCTATGCAGTAACATTTGTAAGTTTTTGTGATATCTCCAACTCCTAGAGTTTGAAAACGGCTAGGACATAGTAAGTGTTTCTCTTTGTTATTTTTGTATTTACTTTTGTGACTATTAATATAGTATCTTCGTATCGTCTATTTTTGTAATTGTTTGTGGTAAGACACACAATAAATGTTTAATTTTTTTTAAACCATTTTGTTTATTTCTCTTAACTAACTCTCTAACCCTTTTTGAGTTTAATTTAAAAAGATATATTTTTCATTTCTAATAATTATTTCAATAGTTAAAACTAGTTGTTGTAATCGTTATAACTTGGCACCTAGAAGCGGTCTCCATTTTAAATAGCTAGAGGTCTTTCCCGTTGTTTTGTTTGCTCCAAGAGACTTATGTAAGTACTCCTTTGTTTCATTTTTTGTAGTTACTCCAATTCAACCCCCTTGCCATTCACTTATCCACGACCCAGCTACTCTAAACCCTGAGTGTCGTTCGCATAAGTATCATTTATTGTGCTTACCCTATCTCCACCCCATTAATTTCTGTCCCAATATTTCAACCCCCATAGTAATACCCTATGTGGTAGACAAAATATTTTGTTACAAAATACATAAAATCAGGGGGGCAAAACCCCCCTCTGTTCCCAGACTAGCCTTATGCTTAATTTTTATTTAATTTCTCACACACACAAACTTCAATCAAAATAAACAAATCGAATGCATTTATTGTTCACTAATATTACTTACTTAATAGAGCCGATATAAAGTGGAGTTTCTAAATTGAGTTCTGTCAATGGAGTTCCTGAATATCCTCGAACTTCTGTAGAATTGTCGACTTGTAATCTGCCTTCTCTCCCTTCACGTGATATTATAACTCTGTGCCACTTATTTTGTGTAATTGGATTGGAACTTCTGCAAAAATATAAAATATAAAACTATAACTAAAGATTTGTGCAAACCTATGATGTTTAATGAAGGCTGTAGGTCCAATGCACTGTGATTTTAAAAGATCTATTTTCATTATTAAATTTTCTCATTTAGCCAGGCACTTTAGAAGATTCCATAGTCGTGAAAGTTGGTGAGAGTAAGTGAGAGTTACATAGCATATTGCTTCTAGTATTTTTCTCCGATTTATTGATATCGCAACCTTTGAATACTATTTCGGTATAGCTTAATAGGTCCGTGGCCAATGTGACTAAATTTTTCTTGTATTAGCACTCTTCTGTTTGGCATTTTGTATATGTAGATTCTACATTAGCTTCTGGTCGAAAATTACACCTTAGTATTTAGCCTGACATACAAATTTAATCTCCACTCCCTGAACACTGATAAAAACAATTCTTGTAGTGCTAATCTTACTACGATTTTGGTTTGACAAAATATCCTTTACCTACAATTGTCAGTACATCTATATATCCAAAGCAGTAGAAACCTTTACCGTAGAGCATCGCTAATAAGTCGTTCATTAGTATGGCTTACAAAAGTGGATATAAGACTCTTCCTTGTTAACAACTATTTCATACTATTGCCTCAATCACAACTTTGGCTACAGAGAAAACAATAATCCCATTCGTTAGAGCCTTCAACAGACCTTTGTGCATTAACAGTTCCATTGACATACCAGTCTTAAAAAATATATCAAATTGTGCACTCTTTCTCAATCTACTGTTGTGTATCTGTCTTCCAAAAACTTTGATAGTAGTTTGCTAAGATCATTATCATCATCATCTTTGGCTCTACAACCTTGGGTGGGTATTGGCCTTTTCAAGAATTAGTCTCACTGGATTTCCAATTTCTGACCCCTAGATTCCTCAGGTCATCTTCGACTTGAGTTTTGAATCTAGATCGTGGCCTGCCTCTCTTCCTGGTACCTACTGGCTCTTGATAGAATATCTGTCTTGCTAAGATCATCCAGCGCTAAATGAGTCCATTTTCCTGGCTGATATGTATATTGACGATTCTCACTTACCGATTTGTTCCATATGCACTTATCTAATAATTGTTACAGAGTTTTTGCTGGATTTTTTTTAAATAGACAGTTAATAATCATAAAAAAAGTTATTTTTCAAGTACTTACGTTAAATTGGCGATTCCACTTCCCAAGTTAAACCTAAACTGAAGATATCCTCGAGCAATATTTAAAGAAATAAAATCTCCCTTGCCATTCTTCATTTGTCCATTGTAAACAATAAGACCATTGGCTGCTGTAGTTTTGAAAATGATCTCCATTGAAAATCTTTTCTTGATACCTTGAAGTTTTGGAAACTGTATGTAACTGTTACCATTAAATTCTGGTATAAGATTATGCAAGTTTTTGAAATCTGCAAATCACAAAGATATTGTAAATGGTATAAGGCAACACGAAAAGTAATATAAACAAGGTTATCTAGTACACTAAATTATAATTTAGACTAAAAAATAAAAACTAAATATAATTTTTAGGGGCTTCCTCGATATTGACGGTTGGAGGCGGGGGTTTAATTCATCTTCTTTTAAAAACCGATAATTATTATTCGAAAAGCAACAGAGATAGAAAAGCGTCCGAATTGTCCCAATAAAAGATAAGTGTGATAGTATAGTACGTAATACATACAGTATTGTAACAAACTGAAACAGAAGATTCTTGTCTTCAAAATATTACGATCTGCCAAATCTAAATGTACAAATATAAAAAATTGGAATTGGGGGTTTTACGGTAATAGAAATCAACTAGGATGTCCGTATCGATGCATTTTATAGAGGCCGCTATATGCGACATGTTGTTGCTATAACAGTATAGGAAAGGAGGAGAGATGACAGGATAGTCGGTCCGCTAGGTATACCTGACCAAGCATGGCAACAGGGCAAGTCTATCCTACTCTGTTGTATCTGATCGTTTAACGTTAGTTGCTTAAGAGACGCCAGTTGTAACGCATTGGTGCGTACTTGTAGGAGTGTTATTTACGATAATTGAAACTGCCACGTGTGATAATTTTATTTGAGTTTTTTAAATTTCATTTTTTGTAAAAACAGGTTAGTTTGACCGATTATTTGTTAGTTTATTATTGAACTATATTTAAAATGTGTATTATAGAGTAAGAACTAGTGCTGTAGTCTGCTTATTTTAAACAATACGGGCTGGTCCATCTGTCCTCCTATTTGAGGATAGATGGACCACTTACGAGGAGGAGAGTTGGACCAGTATGTTTTGTTTTAGGATTATTCCCAATAAATATATTCGCAAACAAAATACACCTAAGAGAGGTAACTGGACCTCTAGGGAGCTAAGTGATGCCGTAGATGCTGTAAAGAATGGTGATATGGGTATTAATGAAGGCGCCAAAGCATTTGGAATGCCCAAAACGACTTTTAAACGTCGAATAAAAACAAACAATATGGATAAGATGAACCGATTGGGTCCAGATTGTTCTTTAGGAACTGCTGTTGAAGCTAAAATTGTTAGCCATATAAAAAACTACAAAAAGCAGCTTTGCACCAACCAGAACTGAAGTAAGAATCATGGCCTTTAATTTAGCTCAGCTATTAGGGATCCCAAATAAATTTAATGTAGAAGGTAAATTTTTAAATTTATAAATCTGATACAAGAGTTAATTATTGTCTACTTCTAGGTAAAGCTGGTACAAAATGGTTAGAACTCTTTTTGAAACGAAGACCTGAAATTTCAATTAGAAAAGCTGAGAACACCTCAATTGCACGAGCTTTAGGAATGTCCAAAGAAACAGTCGATAACACTTTTCTGATCTCGAGAGGATTATGACCGAATATAAGTTTTATGATAAACCCGGACACATATTTAATACTGACGAAACAGGATTACAAATGAATACTAGAGCCGGTCAAGTTCTAGGACTTCAAAATGTGTTCCTAGCGTAAGCCCTGGGGAAGAAGGTGAAACGATTTGTGTAATAGCTTGCTGTAGTGTTGAAGGGATTTTCTTGCTCCCATATTGCATTTTTAAGAGGACAAATAAAAACGACAAGTGGCATTATGGTATGCCACCGGGTTCCAAGATTAAGATGTCGGAAAAATCAGCATACGTTAACAGTGACATTTTCTTAGAATGGTTACAAACACACTTTTTGCCGAGAAAGCCTCCAGGTAAAACCTTATTAATATTAAATGGCCACAGATCCCATACGACCAACCTGGATCTACTAGAATTTGCAGACCAAAACGAAATAATCTTATTTTGTTTGTCATCCCACACAGCACATGAACTACAGCCTCTGGATCGTGCTTTTTTAAGTCACTTAAAGGAACTTTTATGCTGAATACCGTTTTATGGTACAAAATAACGCAAATAGGGTTCTAAAACGCCTTCAGTATGGTAAACTCTTAGGTCGAGCATGGGAAAACTCAGTAACTGTTCAAAATGCGACTTCTGCATTAAAATCCATGGGAATTTAGCCGTTTAATCCATTAATAATCCCAGAATATGCATTTTTGACACTTCATCAGAAACAGAATCAGTGAATTTTCCAGTTAGATCAGAATCTCCTCAACCAGGTTCCTCTGGAATAAGTAGTAAAATATCCTTGCACGGTAGCCCAAACAAGTCATCAATTACTAATGAAGATATAACTCCTGGAAAGGCTCTTGATGAGGTAACGCTCGTGCCTGTATTGGCAGCAGCAGTGAAGAGAGTTCGTAAAAAATAACTGGAGAGATTACTGCTCAAGACTCTATTAAAATGAAGAAGGATGCCTTGATTAAAAAGCTCAAAACCTATAAAAAAAGGAAAGAGAAAGTCAAGCGAATCGTCACTATCTGAAGATGTTACTCTAAACAACATTAGTGGTGATGAAAACATGAGTGATATTGAAAATGAGTATGTTGGGAGCAACGAGGGCTATCGCCAGACATGTAAAAAAGATGACTGGTTACAATGTATTTTTTGTAAGCGCTGGTTACATGAAACTTGTACTGGCTTCGCTAATCTCTGTAACAAGTGCGGAAAGTCTCTTGCTATTAAAAAAAAAGGTTTAGCTTGGTTCATCTCTCCTACTCCTAATGGCCCATCTCACCTCCACAGTTGAGGAGCGATGGACCGATGACGTGCCAGTGCACTAAATTTTTTTTGAGGTTTAAGAATTATAATTTCTAGTTTTTACTAATTCCAAAACAAATACCAATGTTAAGTTATGGTATACAATTTTTTTCTATTCTGAATGACCTAAAATGAATCTGAAAAACGATGAATTATTTCCGTAAAACATGTTGCTTTTATGTAATAGATAGAAATAAAAAATACAGAAATATTCTTTTCGCTCTATTATCTCCGCAATAACACTTTAATAACAAATTCTTACCTTCTTGACAAGGTATCCCCAGTTTCTTATTTTGGCAATCTGTTTCAAACATACACTGCTCTCCTATACAAGAACCTTCAAACTTTTCACAGTAGTCTCCAGTATATTTTGACGGACAATCACATTTAAATAAATGGTCAGATTCTAAACATTTTCCTTTATTTTGACATGGCGAAACTTTGCAAGCGTGGTCTAAACAGTCGTAAATACCACTCACTTCCAAAACCCATTCCTCCTGCCTCATATGGATTTCTACTTCCTGTCTACCAATTCTCAGCTTCTTAATGCATCCTTGGAAGCCTTTTGATGTACCAATATTATCATAAACTCTAAAAATCAATTAACATCTAATTAGGTATTTTTCATAATATCTAGCCGATACATTTAAATGACTAAACATGAAATATATTTCTGAAGTTACAAATATATTGCCCTAGACTAAAAGTTATTCTTAAAAACCAAAAAACTAATCGATGAAATTGCTAAACTAATGGAAAAGAAAAAATAAACAAACTGGTGTAAAATAGAAAAGACTAAACGTAAATAATAAATGAAAACACATTAAAGAGGACTGGGGTCGAAGAAATTAAAGAGTGTAATAAGAAAAGTAAGTGGGACTTGACTGGACCTGTAAAGGAAAAAAATAGAATTGGTAAAAGATGCGAAAAATCTATTTTATGACACACCAAAACATAGATGTTTAGTCAACAGAGACATAACTTCAATGAGATTAATGCAGATCTTCAATAAAAAATGATACCATAAGGAGACAGAGACAACAATACTTCTTAGGATTTGTAAGGGTTACTGTACTGTCAGCGGATATTGTGGCAGTGGTGTACCAGAGTTAAACTATCATCTAGCGCATGGATGTTACGGCTCATACTTGAAACGGATTGACAAGGAGGAGACTGGTATGTATGTACGTTGAAAAGAGTATGAGGATATTGCGGATCATAATCTGCTTATATGCAATAGTTGGGTAAAAAGAAGACGGAAGTGTGAGAGGCGTTCAGGTAAGACAATGATAGTGGGGGTACTAGTTGAACTGATGCTGCTTGGCGAGGAAGATTGGACTCTCGCGAATGGTGTGCTTGCTACTGCGATGAAAGAGAAAAAGAGACCAAAGTGGAGAGAATAAGAGAAGAGCAGATCCTATCGAGTACAGACTATGACGGAGTGGAGAAACAGTACTACCATTTAGTAATGTTATAGTAAGGGGTAAAAATTTCACAGTACCACCAAAAATGCTATTAGAATAAGGTAGAAATTGTGAAAATAATGTTCAAAACAAAAAACAAACCTAAATCAATAAAGATTATTTTTTAAGACCGTGGGGCTATTGTAAAATATATCTATAGTATAATTTTTATCTAATTGTAATAACGGAAATAAAATGCAAGATCTACTTATCTAAGCTATACATACTAACCTTGTGTAATTTGTTGGAACATATCCAATAAAAGCGTCTTCTAATAAATCCAAAGCTTTTAGTGATCCACTTGATTGTCCAGTAATTTCTTCAGATTCGTCTAACTTCAAGACACCATCCCGATGGTACCTCCTAATAACAACCTTATGGTCTTCGCCCTTTTTGATTTTGTCAACAGATCTTATTAATACAGCGCCATTTCCTAGATTGTACTTAAATTCAACGAAACCGTTTACAATAGCAAGTGAAACGAAATCACCTAAGCCATCAGCTTTTTGTTGATTGTATAATATTACTCCATCTTCTGTGTATGATTGGAATTCTACTTCTATGCTTAGTTTGTGATAAGCCTTAAGCGACCTTAGTCGTGCGTAGGATTTGCCATGAAATGCTATAAGGAATAGATCAGAAATATCAATACCATTGGTCAAAAAAATTCAGGTATATTAAATTCTCTATATTATTCCCTTAGATACAAAAAAATTAAGAAAGTAAACAAATTTTCACCCAATTCATTTATAATTTCAAAGCAATTTCTGGGCAAATTTAAATTTTTAAAAAACGACTCACACGAGAGGAGTTTTCAAAAAAGTTACATACACTTTACAGTAAAAGTGCAAATGAGTTATTAATTTTTGGCAACTGAGGGAGACAACGAAACGTGGTATTAGAAAAAAGTGTACAAAAAAACACTGTTCACCGGTATTATTTGTCAATAAGGGGATAAAATAAAATTTTACGTAAGTTTAAAATTTCATTTCCGTAGTGGAGATTTAAACGCCAAATTAAAGACATTTCCAAATACACTTGCGGTTAGTTAACATTATATACAGAACTACATCAGGAAAGATGTTTTCTAAAACAGAGCCTTTACTATTTGCTATTCAGGAGCAGGTTATTACAACCAAAAATGATCGAAAACATAGATTTTCAAGTGCTAAACGACAAATGTCATATAAGCCGTCCAATATCTTAGCTGAACTGCAACTGAATATAAGCAACATAACTCATCAGGATAGAGATAACTAAAAAACTAGAGCTTCTGCAAACTAACCATCTTCCTTATCAAAAATATGTCCTAGATAGTATGTTTCAGAATCTACAAGGTATACTGAGACCGTATTCTGCTCACATACCCACCAGTGGAACATACTAGATCGGATTTCATATTGGTTACTAAATTATATATATATATATATATATATATGTATATATATATATATATATATATATATATATATATGTATATATATATTATATATATATAAATATATATATATATATATATATATATATATATATAGCGAGTGTTTGCAACTTTAATTTTGTCGCTTCTCGCATCCCAATCGCCATAATTTCTTATCGGCCCAGTCTCCTTCTTGAAGACCTCTATTTTCCATTTCTATATGAATATTGGATATCCATTTCTTTCTTGGCCTTCCCTTTTATTTCTCTGTGTAGGTCTCCAGTTCCAACCTTCGTGGTATCCTTTCTTCGTTCATCCGTCTCAGGTGTCCATACCATTTTAATTGTTTTTCGGCTATCGTATCCATTATTGTGTTCTTTACTTTCATTCTCTCTCTTATGTTTTCATTTCTTATGTGGTCAAACAAAGTTAACCCGGAACATCTTCTCCAGTACATCATTTCCGTTGAGAGGAGTTTTTGTGACATATTCTTGTTAAAGACCCACACTTCTGACCCATACGTCAGCACCGGCTGAATCATAGCCTGATATATATTTTTCTTTGTTTTCTTAGTTAAAGTTTTATTCCACAGGATCGGATGTAGTGTTTTTATCATGTTTTTTCCTTTTCCTATTTTTCTTGTTATATCTTTGTCGTCTCTCCCGTCTTCGCTTAGTGTAACTCCGAGATATTCGTACTGATCAACGTTTTTAATTAATCCGCTTTCTGTTTCCATGTCTTGACCGATGCCTCCTATATTCATGTATTGTGTCTTTTCGGTATTAACCTCTAATCCCCATTTTTTGAATTCGTCTATTAGTTTGTTTATCATGTACGTCATATCTTGTAGGTCCTCGGCAAGAACTACCTGGTCGTCTGCGAAGAGGATTGTGTATATAGGAGTGTCATTTACCCATATGCCCATTGGGCTGCATTTTCTCATCCAATATTTTAAAGCATTACCAAGATATATTTTAAATAGGGTTGGGGAGAGGCAAGAGCCCTGTTTGACACCCTTTGTTTGGGTGAAACCCTTGGAAATTTGGTTTCCAACCTTAATATAAGCTTGGTTATCTTGATATAGCTTTTTCACGGCATTTATATATACTGCATTTATACCTGCGTTTTCCAATGTTGTCCATAGTCTCTGCAGTGGTACGGAGTCAAACGCTTTACGGAGATCTATAAAAGTGGCATGAAGTTCTAGTCCTCTTGCTAATCTCTTTTCTATTAGATGTTTGAGAGTAAATACATTGTCGACACAAGATCTCCCTGGTCGGAATCCACTTTGTTCTTCGATCTCTGTGGCTTCTTTTTCTATTCTGGCTTTCAGAACTCTTTCATACAGTTTGCCAGTGGATGACGTAATGCTGATACCTCGGTAATTACTGCAGTCATTCCTGTTTCCCTTTTTGTAGATGGAGTTTATGTACGAGACTTTCCAATCTCTTGGGATACTTTCTCCTTGTAGGCACTTGTTAAACATTTTACAAAGCAATTCTAATGTTATTGCAGTGGCATGTTTGAATAACTCGATAGGTAAATCACCCGGCCCAGGAGCTTTATTATTTTTCATTTTTTGTAATGCGTTTTTTATTTCTTCTACGGTAATCATCGCCACTTCATTTAACCCCGTTTCAACTATATCTATATGTGTGTCTAGAAACTGTGTACGTTGTTCATTTAATAGATTTTCGTAATAATTTTTCCATCTTTCTATGTCTATGGGGTTTATTTTTTTTGTTTCGTTTGTATTTTTTCTAAGACTGTTGATAGTTTTCCAAGCTTGTCTGGACCTAGATCCTCCTACCATTGAGCTTATTTCTGCACACTTGTTGTCCCAGGTTATGTTTTTTGTTTTTTTAATTTCCTTTTTTACTATATATTTGTATCTGTTATAGTTCTTTCGGTCTTCCTCATCTTTTGTCGCTAACCATTTGAGATACAGTTTTTTCTTTTCTTCTACCAGTTCTAATAAACCTTCTGTCCACCAATAATTTCTACGTTTTACTTTTTCTTTCGTACCTAGAGCTTCTAATGCTGCTTCATGAATTTTGATTTTCAAAGTCTCATACATTTCTTCCGCTGTTCCGTTTATTTCTTCGTCTAATTTTTGTGCCAAACGTAGTTTATAGAGAAAACTTGTGGACTCATTTTTTAAGCTGTCTATGTTATAGAGCCGTATGGATTCTTTGTTTGTCTGTTCTTGGGATTTATGTTGTTTAATATATCTTATTTCCACGGGTGCCTTTACTAGTAGGTGATCCGATCCACATTCTGCCCCTCTCCAAACTTTTACATCGTAGGGTCTTAAAGATGTCTCTTGTTTAACTACTATATAGTCTATAATTGACTGCAGTTTTCTTGTCTTTTGAGTCCATGTATATTTATTTATGTCTCTATGTTTGTAAAATCCATTCAGTATTTTTAACGAATGTTGTTCGCATACCTCCAACCATCTTGTTCCGTTCTCATTTACTACATCTTCTCCGTGTTGTCCAATTATTTTGTTGTCAAGAGCTTTACCTACTCTTCCGTTCAGGTCCCCTAGCAGGACTATTTCTTGTCTTTTTTTTATTTTATTTAACTCTTCTGAGAGTTTGTCGAAGAACATGTCTTTAGTGTTTGTATCTGAGTCGTCCGTGGGTGCATAGATGCCAATTATTTTTATGTCTCTCCCCTTTGTTGTAAGGTCTACTGTTATAATTCTTTCGTCTATCGGGTTCCAGTTGGTAATACATTTTTCCATGTTTTTTCTTATCACGACCGCTACTCCAGCTTTGGCTCTTTTTGATTTTTCTACTCCGCTCCAGAAGTATATATAGTCGTCTTTGTAGTGGTTCCCCTGTCCTTTCTTTTTTGTTTCGCTGAGTACTGCGATGTCAATTCGGTATGTACTGAGTTCCTTAAATACTTGATCTTCTTTTGTATTCAGTCCTTGTATGTTCCAACATCCAAAATTCGTTAGCCTTTTTCTTTGCCTATGTCGTTTTCCTTTGAAGCCATCCGAGTTCCGAGGCTGTTCCTTGGGATTTTTAGCAATATTTCTTTTACGTTTTATTTTTAGTATTATTTCTTTTACGGTTACTAAATTAACTAAACGAAAAACACTTATTGATGTGGACATAACTAAACAACAATAATGTGTGTGTTAAATACAACTAGAAGATCATAAAGTACAGAATGGAAATTATCCAGAATATATTTTGTATCTGCGATGTCTAAGAACGTGGTAATAGCTGGGACACGGTTTTCCCATAAAGATATACATCAGGGAACTTGGAAATCTGATAATAAAAGGATTAACCAAATAGATCATCTAATCATCGATGCAAGACACTGCTCTAACTTATTAGATGTTAGGTCTTTTAGAGGAGAAAACATAGATAGTGATCTATGCTATGCCGATGATACAGTATTAATTGCTGGTTGTTCGGATTTTTTATTATTTGTTAAGTGGCAACCATGTCAACACCGCGCTTGGTTATGCGCATTCCATTTTCTAGTTAGAGGTTAGAAGTAAGAAGTAGAAGTTACTATTAAGCAAAATTACAGTCCTTCTTCTCGTGCCACTCATAGCGGAGATTGGAAATCATCATGGCCACTGCGACTTTGTTAGCAGCGCGCCTAAAAAGTTCGAACTACACCCGAACCATTCACGTAGATTACGAAGCCACGATATTTTTCTTCTTCCCACACTTCTTTTGTCCTTAATTTTGCCCTGCATGATGTTTCTTAAAAGTTCGTACTTTTCACCTCTCACAATGTGCCCCAAGTATTCCATCTTTCTAGTTTTTATCTCATTTAGAATTTCGCATCTTTTGTCTAAAGTTTTGAGTACTTGCGTGTTAGTGACGCGGTCCATCCATGATATTCTGAATTACAGTCCACAGCGTTTCAATTAAAATCTATTTACCAGTGAACCAGCACAAAAGTGAAGACAAACAAGTGTTTTCACATTCTATTAAACCCTGATAACGAAGATGACCTACAAAAGCAGCTCCATACCTTCTATATCACAGCAAACAAACTTAATATGAGAATATCAGTAGAAAAAAACTAAATGTATAGTGATCAGTAAAGAGCCGCATAGATGCAAACTAGAAATAGACGGCAAAATTGTAGAACAAGTAATGAAATTCAATTACCTAGGAGTAGAGATCACTAGTGACAGGGATATAAGAACAGAGACCACAAGGCAAGCATCAAAAGCGGCAAGAGTAAGTGGTTGCCTCCGAGAAACCATATGGAGAAACAAATATCTGACCACGGAAAGCAAAATGAAAGTATACAAGACAACAGTAAGACCAATCCTAACATATGCAGCGGAGACAAGGACCGATACAAGAAAGACGAAACAACAAATCAACAATATCGAAATGAAAGTATTAAGATCAATAGCGGGCATATCATTAAGAGACAGACAAACCAACAGAAGTATAGGCGAACAATGCAAAATTCAAAATATTAACAGGTGGATAAAAACAAGAAAAAAAACTGGAACGAACATGTAAACAGAATGGGATCAGATATATTAGCGAACATCTGTAAAAACGACAAGCCGTATAGCAGAAGACCCATTGGAAGGCCGCCAAAAGGTGGAAAGATAATGTACAGTCAACGACTGAAACAGAATAAGGGCAGACAACAGAGTATTCTAGTCGCACGAAAACAAGAAGAAGAAGAAGGTCTCAAAACGTAACGAAAACGATAGGCTACATCTAGGTCTGTTTCTAAATTGCCATTGACAATTTCTGATATAAACCTCGAATACAATGTAGAATTATAAAGGATACTTGAAGTATAATCTTGAATTTTAAGTTTGTGCTGAATAAAGACAAGAGCACTATACACACAGACACGGTATGCCACTATTGATATGTAATTCCGTCCACTTCGCGCATGACGTCAGGTACGAGGAGCAACACTTGCTATTTGACTTGCAAGTGCTTTGTTTACATGATATTTTGACGGAACGGAGGAGAATATTTTGTTGTTTTTTAATTGTTTATCATTATTATTAAACGTGTTGGATTCCCAATTTATTTTGTAGAAGTGTGCTTGACACAGAAATTGTTGTACGATCTTGCAAACATTGACGAGCCACAAGAAACAAAAGAATAGGCCGAAAAAGAAATTATGACGATTTCTTTTGTAGAACTATCTTATAAGTAAAGTCGTCCCAGGAGCGCAACTCAACAATATTGGCAATATCATTTTAAAGTCGTCTACTTTAAAATGCATAATGTATGTCTGAATTGTCAATATAAATGAGTCAGATAAAATTAAATTATTAGAAGAATTTTTCACTATGTAACAAAAAACAAAATTTGTTTAATTTACTGTTTGTATTTTGAGAACGATTTCCGAAGTGGAAATTGAAACGTCAATAAACGTATTTTTATCTTTAATTGTGGCATATTCCCAGTTTAATAGTAATTAACTTACACCTCGGTCAAAAAAAAAGTATTATATATAATATCAATGTTCTTGAAAATATCTAAGGGTTAATTACGTGGAAATTTCACGTGGAAAAGAGAAAACAATTCAAAAAGTTATTAAGACATTATTTCAAAAAAGGATTTTTATTATTTTTGAATTAATAATCAAGGCTTATTGTTTTTTTTTGACGTGTTTCCTCGCCAATAATTTTCAAATACATTTTATTGACTTATGAACAAAGTGCAAATCCCTAGGAATATTAATACATAGTACAACTATTTATCTTACAATCAGTTTTAATCAAATAATCAGATGACATAATTTTATATTCGATAAAATTGTAATGTATCTCATAAAATTATATGAACATTTTCCTCGTGCGTGACGTCATGTGCGGCGAGAGAGACAGCGCTACCATGCGCAGTGGCATACCGTGTTTGTGTGTATCGTGGACAAGAGAAGTGTTTTCAAGAATTTCGTTAAATAACTTTTTTATGTTTATTTCAGTATTGTAGACGCCGGCGCCGTACAATTTTTTATCTCTCTTTCTGTCACCCAATCTAACCTAACTTAACTACTCCTCTAACACCGTCGTGCTCAGCGATGCATGGATAGCCAAAAGGACTGGCAAATTGGAGAACTTTGGGAGAATATAGTCTTGGTACGGTTTAGACGCACTGCCGAGAGCTCATATACATAGTTATTTACTGAAACACATGCAATAAGGATACGAGTGGTGTAGAACAAACGGATTTTAATTGATAGCATTTTTAAACATGTAAACCTATAAGTAGTTGATAAGGTGATTAAAAACTAATGTTAATTTAACCATAATTCATACCTGGCGTTTCGTACTGAGTAAGAGTAATTTCAAGTTCACAAAGTAAACCAGTAAAATTAGCTGTGCAGACGCAAGCATATGTTGAAGCTGGTAGGTCGATGCAAGTGCCTCCGTGGTTACAAGGAGAGCTGCTACAAGCTGGAAACTCATCCATATCGGGAGAATTCGCTGTAAATAAAAATTATGTCATTACTATATTAATCAGGGTGTCCAAAAACTCTTTGAATGTTAAAAAATTGCAAATTTTCGGACAAGTTTTACATACCCTATCATAGAGGCTATTTTACATCACCACAGACTAGTTTGTAAATCGTTTAGTAAATTGAATATAAAAACCGTTCAAGGTTTATTTTTCTGCGAATGGATTTGATTATTTTTAAATATTTTCGATTTGGTTTTGACAACTACTGCAAATAAATATAACAAATTATATTATGGGAAGACCGGCCCTGGCACGGTATGGTTAAGTTATACTGATATCGTACTCCTAGTTTTTAATAAAAACAAGTGGTTTTATTAAATAGTTTTTTAAAATTAAAGTGTTTATCTACTAGATACTACTGTGTAAGTCATGTATACGTAATTATTATTTTATTATTGTAAAAAGAAAATGTCAAATAATAAATATCCATTACCATACAATCATTTTGTGAGGTTAGCTGCTATAAGCAGCTTACAGTAGCATGTGGTTGGTTTGTCAGTTACCAGAGTCAGAGTAAGGCCTTCGCCGCCGCAGCTTAAAATGACTTCACACAATGTAAACACACCTTCCGATCTCACCAGTCCAGTAAATCAACGTTCGAATATCATAAACAGTTATGCATCAGCCGCTTCAAATTCTTTTCCGAAAATGCAGGATTATCTCATTCCTTTGGGCACAATCATCAACCCAAAAAATATTATTTTTTTATCTAGATTATCTCATAATAGAATCTGCATGTATTTGGCAAACAAAAACGTAGTAGATAACTTCATGACACAACATGGCTCTATAGAAGTACTCGGCAAAGTTGTAACAGCACGAAGACTTGTCTCTCCAGCAGAAAGACTAGTCTTGTCTCGAGTCTGTCCATCAATTCCTCATCAAGTATAAATGCTTGGTTAATTTACCGTAGAATGAGACACATTATTCCTGAACAACCCGAACTGGATTTGTTGCAGTTTCGTCGAAATACAGCCAAAGCCTTGTTGACGATGTTTGGAACTTCTCCAAGAAGACCTGGTTTATATCAATCTTCCATAAACAACATAAGATGTTTGATTCGACAACATCGGCCATCTTATTTTTACCCGAGAAAAACGAACCCAATGCGTCTTTTGTCACTCAACAACCAATAAAAAATGTATAAAATGGTTGAAGAAGAAAGGAAATGGCACTTGAAGAAGAACATAATCAAGTAAGTGTAAATTTAAATTACTGACATCAGTCGATAAACTCAAAAATGCATAATAATAATAGTGATTAATGTGATATACATACCCAAACAATCTTGTCGATCTGAGGATTCGATGTAGTTGGAAACGCAAATACAGGCTCCTTTAACACAGTGACTGTTCATAATGGCACAGTCACTATTTTCTGAGCATATATCGCCCAATAAGGCCGTCAACACACGTACGGTTGCTGGAGTCGGCCGGTACGCCGGAGCAAATTCATTACCTGGACACAAAGACATATTATAATAATATAAAGATAACATAGATTGTAGGCAGTAACTGATCGAATTATTAGAACTTTGATAAAATTGGGTTTTTTAATATTTAAAAAGTGTATAATTGAGCTTCCAAATATAATGTTTCTTCGTTTTTGCAAGCAAATTGAGCATATACCAATAGAAAAAATCTTGTAATCTTCCGGTTGTTATTGCTTCGTATAGTTGTTCTACGTTTCCATCCTCGGACGTGATCATTGGAGTATAAACTTCAGTAATTTGTAAAAAATAACTCTTGTTAAGCTTGATATAGATATAAATTACTCGATTGGCTATAAATTAATGCAAACTCTCATTAAGTGCCCCAGTCTGTCGACCTCGCTTTGGAGATTGTGTATAAAATAATCGCACAACCTTCGAGTGAGGGTCAGACAAGCTGACAAATTCAAAAAAGCCTCAGGACCAGACAACATCACAAACAGAGCGCTGAAAAATCTACCAGCAAAAGCTATGTATACATCACCAACAAAATTAAGATATTTTCCAGACAGATGGAAGGAAGCACATGTAACGATGATAGCGAAACCAAGGAAAAATGGCACATTTCCTCAAAATTATAGACCCATTAGCCTACTATCATCGATAAGTAAAATAGCGGAAAGGTTAAACTTAAAATAGTCAACGAGGAGTCTCAGTCCTTAGGCACCATTCCAGAAGCTCAATTCGGGTTCATAAGCGAACACTCCTATGAATTACAGGTACTACAACTGACGGAATTTATTACGAAACAAAAAATTTATACAGCAACAGCATTTCTGGACGTTATCAAAGCATTTGACAGAGTCTGGCACCAAGGACTCCTATACAAAATAAGCAATTTGGGGTACAGCGAGGCGATGACATGCCTTCTTGCGTCATACCTAGCCAACAGAAGGTTCAGAGTTTGATAGGAGCAACCCTGTCCTAAGTCGGGACCCTGAAAGCGGGTGTGCCTCAGGGGCTGTGCTGTCGCCTTACCTGTACACCATCTATACGCCGACACGCCAACAGAACCAGGATCTGTGTTAACTCTTTACGCTGACGACACAGCAATAGCTGTAAGCTGAGACCTGAATCATGCAGCTAATCATCTGCAGGGAGCACTGAATAGATTCCAAATATGGTGCATAAAATGGAAAATCGCCTTAAATCCCGACAAAACACAAGCTGTAAGGTTTAGTCATAGAAAAAGTGTACCAAACCAAGAAACTACGATTGGAAACACCCCAGTAGAAGGGACAAACCAAGCAAAATACCTCGGGGTGTTACTCGACAAAAAACTCACGTTTACAGAGCACATCCACCAAACGACGTACAAAGCCAAAGCGTTAAAAAGTCAGCTTTCTACGCTCATAGGCAGAAAAAGTAAGCTAAGATTTAGAACTAAAATCAGGGTTGCGAATAGCATAATCCTGCCAGTCCTAACGTATGCCTCCGCTGCGTGGGGACATACCTGTAAAACAAACAGGAAAAAGATACAGACCACTCAAAATCAAATAATCAGAGATGCTAAATATACCGAGATACGTTCCACTGAGAAAACATCAGGACGGTACACAGAAGACCAAAACAGCAGATAGCAGGATATAGGGAAAACCAAAATGAACAATATAGAATGAGATGGTCGCGAAGTAGTCCTACAACTGAATATGAAGTCAGACAGAAAGCAATAAAAAAACTCTGGCGAGAGGGTACGCTTGTAGTTTAGTTAGATTAAGTCCAATATACACGGGTGTGTGATGGCCGTATACACCTTGGAATGCACACCCCACCTCACGCACACTTTAGGTTAACTTAGCTTAGGGAAAAAAATCCTGCTTTCTGTCTAAATTATCTTTGAATTTGCATTAGAACGATTGATGAAATTTTAACACAACTTTTAACTTCTCAACCATGAAATGCCCGTCAGGCCTTTTATATACTGCAACTGCGGACTAGGTCCCTCAGACAGATCGAGTGTAGATCTATTCGCGAAATCCGAGGTCATTTGAGGCATATATGGGCTCGGTGGCCGGACCCACTCGGATGCTCAGCCGGCGCGGCGAGGAGAACAAAATTTATCTTGCCAAATCAGCGGCTGAGTGGCCGGGCACACACTCTTTTCCGGACAGAGAGTCGTTAGCTCAAGCTGGCGGCTCTCTGTTCGGAACACACGCTTTTTCTTTTTTTTTAGGGACTCAAGTTCCGAAGTCATGGTAGAGTAACTTCTATAGAGTCAGTAAAGTAAATAGGAAGAAAAGCCGATATGTGTGCTACCCCTACAGTTAGGTGGCCTAACCACAGTCATTAAAAAAGAGGGTGTCGCATTACCTAGGGCACCTTAAGTAACTTTCAGATCATAAGCCTCCTCACGTAAGTTACACGATGAGGAGGGGTGGAGGAAAAGCCTGGGGGTCAGATAGGTACCACTTCAATAGCGAAGTGTGACCGGTTTGATCTTCGGACATGTGGATCCCATTTTACAATGGTATGCACATGTTTCTACGGGCAGGGTTGATCACTGCGTGTGTGTGTGAGTGAGGATCAGTGGTTTGACCACGGCCTCACCTAGAGCATAGTCCGCTCTAGGGGATCGCCGGTGGGAGCTCTGCTCCATTTGCTACCGCAAAAATCTTAAGACTCTGTAGATAGTCTTCTTCACAAATCAGAAGTTGTTTTATTTCCAGCGATGTTTTACCTGATTACTCATATAAGAAGTTTCACACCAAGTCTTTATCAAGATTTGGAAAAATCCACAGCATCCAGAGATTAATATGGATAAATGCTTGGGGGTACTTCATACATTATACATGAAGCCCTAAGCAGAGTGAATAATTTCATAGGTACACTCTTACTGCGACCACATGGCGCCAAACTTGCTTTTCGACTACACCCACCGATAAGAAGCCGTGGTACACACAAGCCTATGAATCCATGCCGGATTCAAGAGGACAGAGGGGAGAGTTACCGGATTGTTAGAACGTCAAAATCCTAACATTTCACCATCCAGGTCCTAAGCATACCTGGCGCCTTAGATGAGCCTGAGATGAGCCAGTTTTCTTCGAAGTTTTAAGTCCTTCTTCTTCTTAAGGTGCCGTGCATTTCTGCGTAGGCGTCCACCGTACATCGTCTTGTCAGGTGAGATGTTAAATATTCTGGATTAAATAATTCTGTTTTTAGCAGCATTGCGAAGCATTTCATAGCTGTGGATTCCTGTCCATTGTCGAATATTGCGCAGCCATGACATTTTTTTACGTCCGAGACCTCTCCTACCCTCTATCTTCCCTTCGAGTATCAGTTGCTGAAAAGTGTATCGTTCTCCTCGTATAATGTGCCCCAAGTATGCAGTCTTCTTACTTTTTACATAATTAAAAAGTTCCCTATCCTGTAAGCCCGCTCTTCTGAGTACTTCCTCATTTCTGACCCTGTCCGTCCATGATATTCTGAGCATTCGACGCAGGCACCACATTTCAAACACTTCAAGTTTGTTAATGGAACTGGCCTTTAACGTCCATGCTTCCATTCCGTACAGGAGAACAGGCCACACGTAACACTTAAGCATCTTGTATCGGAGGTTGAAGTCCAATTTGCGATCAGTCAGAAACTTACGAAGCCTCAAAAAAGCATTTCTGGCTTGTTCAACTCTGCTCTTTATTTCATTCTCGGGGTCCCAACCCTCATTCAGCAAACATCCCAAGTATTTGAATTGCCTGACTTGTTCGATTTCTTCTCCAGAGACATATCTTTGCGTTGGGGTAATCATTTCTACTTATAATCATTGATTTTGTCTTCTTGATATTTATTTTCAAACCCGAGCTTCACTTGCAAGAGTTAGATCATTTAAAAGGCATTGAAGATCTTCGATGTTATCTGCCACTATGGCTGTATCATCGGCATACCTGATGTTATTAATAAATATGCCGTTAACTTTAATACCCTTATTAGAGTCTTCCACTGCTTCTGCGAAGGCTTTTTCTACGTATAAATTGAACAGCATTGGGACAGTATACAACCTTGCCTTACTCCTTTTTTAATGGAGAAATCTTCTGTTTCGTTGGAATTTTGAAGACGTACTGTTGCTGTCTGATTCCAATACAGATTGGCGATGATTCTTATATCCTTTGCATCCAATCCCAACTCTTGTAGGTATTTTATCATCAATTCGTGTTTTACATTATCGAATGCTTTCTCGTAATCGATGAAACAGATAAAAACATCCTTTCTTTGATCTAAACAATTCTGTATCAATGTTTGCATACTAAAGATCGCTTCTCTCGTGCCAAGTCCATTTTTGAAACCAAACTGACTCCATCCACTGACCTCTTCACATTTCTTAAACAATCTAGTGTGAAGTATTCTCAGGAAAAGTTTTAAAAAGTGACTCATTAGGCTTATTAGTCGGTGGTCCTTGCAGAAGTTCGCACGTGGTGTTTTTGGTAGGGCGATAAATGTAGATCGAAGCCAATCTTTTGAAATCTGGCCCGTATCGTAGATGTCGTTAAAGAGCTTGACAATAATGTCTAGATTTTCTTCATTAAGTAATTTGATTGTTTCTGCGTTTTAAGTCCCGGAAGCTACCAAAGTCCCAGAGTGGCTACAGTCCCTGCCTGTTCTAGCAGTATGTGGTCCGCGTCACCACGAAGGCCTCGGGCAAACTTTCTTACGTAAGACCGTGGACAATGCAGAAGGGAACCGGAGAGCTGAGAAGGAGACAAACCCGTCAAGGGAGTTTGATGCATAGAAGGAGGATGGAACCTGCCTAGGATGGAGATGCTGTCACCACCACCTCGACCTGGAATTGAGGTAATATTGCTTGTGTTTGCGAACATTTATATTTTGCGTTAAGACATTTCTTTCTTGAAATGTTTATACCTTTTAGTGGGTACCCCTAATGCTTAGGGTACTTCATACATTATATATGAAACCCCTAAGCAGAGCTTATAGCAGAGTGGATAATGTCATAGGACCACTCTTGCTGCGATGACAGAACATAGGCCATTATTGCGACACACAGCCTTCGCAGTAGATAGAAGAGTTAAATGTTCATACACAACACCGCGATACAAGTAAGTACCATTTGTAAACTTTATAAAGTATAGAATCAAATGTAAAGAAACATGTATTTTAAAGATTATTTATAAACAGTATTAAAAAAATGCAGTTTAAAAAAAATAGCTCTAATAACTTGATCGCTCACTGTAGTAATTACAAAATTATTTAACATACCACTTGCAGAAGTAGCATAAAAGCTTAAAATGGAGTTAAATAAATAACACGAAATTGTAATAAAAACATTTTAAAGCATTTATCCTATTGTGTTTACATTGTTCTTTATCTCTTATCTAGTGATAATAGCGTAAAATGGATAATTATGTCTCACCACGATTACGGTATAACATGTTAGAGTTGGGCTCATTTCCACCGAAGTCAGTACCAGGAAATGATACTGGATGCACGTTACTGCTTCTTTCGTAATAGTATCTGGGATCCGGGACCAGGAGGTGACGGGTGGATTTGGAGAGAGGAGAACTTATTTCGTCTGGCTGCGTGAATTGTTGAGGATTAACACCGCTGTAGGGCCAGTCAGTACTTTGGATGTCATCTGAAACATTTTAAAGATTAGTCACGATATTTGGTAATTTTAAGATATAAATGTGCAAGTACAAGGTGAATTGAATGAATGAAAAATTAATTAAAATTTGAGAACGGAATACTCGTTATGAATTAGGTATATACATTCTAAGAATGTAAGTATAAAACATTTCGATTATGTTATTATGAAATTATTTCCTATTTTAAAGCATAAAAACTGACTACTTGATAAAATGTTATCCTTTAGGCTAGGCGCATACACATCGAATTTGGACGGTCGATAAAAGTTCGACCGAACTTTTGTCGATGATGCCTTGCGCGCACACTACACGATATTTATTCGATGACGTTTTTTAATCCACAAAGGTTTGTTAGGTGGAGTACACAAAATCACAATGAGCAACACAGAACCACGTAGCAACACGGAGCGACGTACTTGAGCAGTGTCAAAAAACGCAACTGGTCCTCTGGTCGGTCGATAAAGATCGATGTGTGTGCGCGCGTTCATTTGATACTATACGCCTTGGAACGACGGCAACGACCACGGCAGCCGTGAATGCAGTGACATTCATCGATCGCCACACGACCATCACACGACATCGATGCCGTGCCGTTTGGCGATCGATGTGTGTGCCCGCTCACATTTGTTTCTTCGCGCCACCAAAGGAATTTGTTCGATCGAACTTTTATCGACCGTCCAAATTCGATGTGTGTGCGCTTAGCGTAATGTTACATAAGAAAGAAATCATGAAAACAGCAGCAAAATATTTTTCAATAACACATATAGGGTAAGTCTTTAGTGCGACAGCAGTCAATTCCACTGTGGTATAGAATATCTTATTTAGAAACAATGTAGGCAATGATATTCTACATACTTGGCAAATATGTGGAATTCTACTGGGTGATAATACCTACGTGGTATAGCAAACATACAATTTTTTAAATGGGACACCCTATATATTTTTTCAAATTTGTATTTTTCTCATAACTCTTGTTCTTATAGTATTGGGTTTTGCAATACTATACATATTTATGTGTTGTTTTCATAGGGATTTCGAAACAAAAATGGTCGTAACTTGTTAAATTCTTTGTATAGTAATATACAACTCAAAATCGTAGCGCTTGCGCCATATCCCGCTTTCTTGTACTCCTCCGTATATGTGCCTAAGTATTCTTCTTTTCATAGTCCATGTCTCTGACGCGTATGTCAGGACAGGTTTAATAAGAGTTTCATATATTAGTATCTTGGTTTTTCTGCTAATTATGTGTGATGTTAAGAACTGCTTTAGTCCAAAGTAAGCTCTGTTCGCCAGGTATATTCTTCTCTTAATTTCTACGCTTACTAGGTTGCTGTTATTTAGTTGTGTTCCAAGATATATAAACTCCGAGACCCCTTCGAATGTGTGTGCTTCTGTCACCAGATCTTGTGGTGCCGCTATTTGTGTGCTGTTCGTGACCTTCATGTATTTTGTTTTGGATACGTTGACCTGCAGTCCCATTGTCTTCGCGGCTTTTTCTAATGTTTCAAAAGCCTGTATCAGGTCTCTTTTTGTCCGTGTTACTATGTCAATGTCATCTGCGTAGGCCAATATCTGTACACTTCTATTGATGATCGTACCTCTGGTTGTTATGCCCGATTTCTCTATGGCTCTTTCTAGCGCGATGTTAAACAATAGGCACGATAGACTGTCTCCCTGGCGTAATCCAGTATGTGTTTGAAAAGACCTTGACACTCTGTTTTGTACTTGACTTTGCACTCAACTTTCGAAAGAGTTGCCTTTACCAATGTTATTAGATGCGACGGAATATCTAGTTCTGCCATGGCATTATAAAGTGCGCTTCTGTCTACACTGTCATAAGCGCTTTTAAAATCTATGAAGAGGTGGTGGGTATCAATTCCATATTCATATGTCTTTTCTAAGGTTTGTCTGAGAAGGAAAATCTGATCAATTGTTGTCTACGTCTCCACTGTGGTCATTTATGTCAGTCACTTCTCGGTTGCCTATATTTAATTTTCTTAGCAAAATTCTCCGTCCATCTCTCCACTGTTTAATCCGGCTCATTAAAATTACTTTTTATTATGGTTATTCTAGGTTTAAATTCTTTTCTGTTGTGGTTCACATTTTTATAAAATTTTCGCGCTTCGCTTTGTGAATTGAGCCTTTCTAGTTCCTGTAGCTGGTTTTCTAAATGTCGTTTTTTCTTTTGTTTTAGTATCTTTTTCTCTGCTTGTCTCATCTGTTTGTACTCCTCTTGATTTTGTCTTGTCCTTCTGTTTTGGAGTTTCCCATACGCCTGATTCTTTTTTTGAGTTGCCTGTGCGCATTCCGCATCATACCATTCTGTCCCCTTCCTTTCTTGTTTCTTCTTTCCTAAAACTGTTGTTGCTACTTCTTTCAGGATATTTTCGCACTCATTCCAGTAATTATCTATGTTTTCAACAGTACTACTCATTTGGTCTTCTAGTTTTTCTTTAAGTTTGTGTTCAAATTTTCTAACTATCTCAGGGTTTCGTAGTCTGTCCACCTCGAATTTATCTTCTTTGCTTCCTTTACCTTTTTTTGCGTTAGAGATTCGTGCCCTTAGTTTAGCCTGGACCAGGTAGTGATCGGAGTCAATGTTTGCTCCACGTCTGGTACGTACATTCATAACATCGCTGTAATGTCTTGCGTCCACAACAACATGGTCAATTTGATTGATTGTGTTACCGTCTGGGCTAATCCAAGTGCTTTGTGTATATTTTTACGCTCAAAGCATGTGCTGGCTATCACCATATTCATTGAGGCAGCAAGGTGTATTAAGCGTGTTCCATTGTTGTTCGACTCGTTATGGAGGCTATATTTTTCAATGGTGGGTAGGTAATCGTTTTCTTTTCCTATTTTGGCGTTGAAATCTCCAAGTACTATTTTTATATCATTTCTAGGTCAGTTCCGTATTATTTCTTCCAGTTTTTCGTAAAATTATCCTTTTCTTCGTCTAGCTTATCTTCTGTGCGTGCATGGGCATTAACTACTGAATATTTGAAAAATTTTCCCTAATTCTTATTTTGCATATTCTGTCACTTATGGACTTAAAGTCTATTACTAGGTGCTTTACTCTGCTGCAGACTATGAATCTTGTTCCAAGTTTATGCTATGTTGGGTGGCAGCTATTGTATATTTCTTTTTCCCGAATATTTTTTCCCAACCACCTAACTTCTTGAAGCGCTATGATGTCTATGTTATATTTATCCAGGATGTTGAGGAGTTTCCACAATGCTCCAGTCTATATAAGGATCTCAAATTCACGTACTTAATTGTAACTCTTTGTCCTTTTTCTGCCAAGTCGTCGTTTAGATTTCAGTCCGAAAACTTTACCTTGAATTCTCGTAACATGCTTTTTTTTACGTGTCGGGGTATCGGGTGTAAGTTAACCCTACGCCCAACCCCAACCTGGAGGACCAGTTCACCCGCTCTCAGTTTTCGACCCAACTTTCCACCGGGTTGGATACCGGATCTCCAGTTGGGTTGCTCGGTTTAACAGGGGGCACCAGCGTGAAGGTGAGAGTCGGATTTGAGTAGAAGAGTGGAGTGGAGTAAACTGGAAGTAACTCCATGTTTTCGCATTCCACCCCTTTACCCCCTTGTTAGGGGTAAAGGGGTGGAACGCGAAAACAAGTGTTAGTTATTAATCACCCTGTAGAATTCCATATATTTTTCAAGCAGCAAAATATCATTGCCTACATTTTTTCTAAATAAGTTTTTTGGATATCTTGTACCACAATGGAATTATCGACCGACGTCGCACTAAAAACTCACCCTGTATATGACAAATCTCGATTTAAGCGTGAAAAGCTATAGCGTATCATAAATAAGTACATTTTACGATGATAAAAATCTTACGCAATCTAGCCTTACATTATATATTGCAACTTATTACACGTTTTAGCTTTGCTTGTTCTTTTGGCATATCTTCACTTACTAGCGTACTATCAAAACTCTCGATAACTCACCTCTAAATAACATAATTACGTACTGGCCTTGATCATGCTTTTAAGCATTAAAAATATTGTTTCATTAGTTAATTTTATATATCGCAGTAACTTGGTTATTTGGACATATAATTGTGAAAGGTAAATTTGACAGGACCGTTTTTAAACGAAACAAGTGAAGAACACCATATTTCCAGGTAGAAAGAATTTATATTTCATATAATTACTAATAAATCTTTGTTAAATTAAAAACTGCTTACCTTTACAAGAACCGAAACCTTGAAGAACAATATCTCTCTGAAGCTTGCAAGCAGAACGCCTCAGATCACAAGAGGAACTGTAGGTTTTTCCGTCGCTGCCGCATACAACCTGTTAAATAATAAGCTGTGAAATGGTATACATATACAGATTGAACGACAAAAATTCGGAACATACGAAATATTATGTATTTCGGCTCAATTCTGCTGTAGGTGGTTGACCAACAAAAGGTTGTCAAATAATTATATTATAAAAATCCAATACTTCAGCGGGCTGCTGGATTCTGAAATCATAAAAATTGAAAGCTACACATAAATCTACGATTTTATTATGCTGTCAAACCACTTATAGTCCAGGAAATGAAGCATTTCACCTCGCAATTTTTTCGTCCTGCGTGGATTGACTTGAAATTTTAACAGAAGGTAGGTAATAGCCAAGGATCAAAATCTATATCGAACCAAAGTGCGCCAAAGCCTTGGGGGTGGTTGCCACCCCATCTCGGGGGTGAAATTTTTTTTTACGTTTTAACTACAGGTTTCGATTAAAAAAGTGATTCTAAACAAAAAATGTTCTATACATTTTTTTTGTAAAACTGATATTTTTCAAGTTATTCGCGATTGAAAGTAACAACTTTTAGACGAAAAAATCGACGTTTTTAATCGATTTTTCGCGAATAACTCGAAAATGGTGCATTTTATCAAAAAAATTGTAGAGAACAAATTTGTAGCTTTTAAAAAGACAAATACAATTCATTTTTTAAAATGTTTTTGCGATATAACAGGAACCGAAATACGGCCTATCAATGTTCAGCGGTTTTCTTCAAATGCCAAATTTGAAAGATTCAAAGTCAAATATCGGGAAAATGATGCATTTTTGGAAGAAAACTCACAGAACCTTTTTTAAAGAGCATAAATAGACCTATCATAAAAAAAGACTCTAGCTCAAAAATTGAGTGAGTTATGATGAAAATAAGGTCAATACCTCATTTTTTTACGAAAAAATCGATGAAAACAACCCCTAACCACCCCCATAATTAAAATCGATCTTCACCCTTCTGCAATTCTCTTTGTACATGTATTGTTAATACGTCCAAGAAGTTTGACCCATTTAAAATGCTTAGTTTTAGAAAAAGTACAGCATAAAGCGAGAAACGATTTACAATTTCATATTTTTTACCTTTTTTTTAAATATCCCGAAAATACTGAATATATGAAAAAATAAAATGTACTAAATTGTAGCTTTTTTAATGACTAAAATTTTCCTTTATTTAGATTTGTTGTACAATGAATATTTGGCGAGATATAGCCGTTTAAAGCATCGATTTACGATCAAGCACCATCTTTTTCGAGCCCTTTAAACTCACCCCATTTAAAAACCAAGGGTTCCAAAAAGATTTAATTCACAGATCCTTGTAGCTCTTAAAAACCTCTACAAAATCGTTTTTGAAGAAACACTCTATCGTTAAAAATGAAGGAAATACGTTAAAAAAACCAATTAATTTTTTTTCCGGAAAATTCCATTAGTATAGTACAGTACATTTCGGAGCATAATAATCTACAAAACCGGTATATTAGGTAGTGGGGCGTTATACATTCGAAATTTTAAGCGTTCTTATTTTGAAATCCCATACAACAGAATAAAACATCTGCTCATATGTCTATGGCTTGGCAATGAAAATATCAGAGCAACAGATTGGGGATGGTATTCCAAAGATGGTTTGTTATTACCCGTACGCATGAACAAACAACCTGCACCCGATGAACTTTTGAAAATTATTTTTTGCCAATGCAAAAAAGGATGCGGCGTTTCATGTGGGTGCAGAAAAGTTGGTTTATACTGTAACTCTACTTGTTCTGGGTGCTCAGGTGAAGGGTGCAATAATAGTCCACCAATAATTGAAGAAGATGAGGATGACATAGATCACGATGAAGATGTAATTGATGACGAATAAAATTAATATTATAATTGTTTTACCTATAAATGTAAATATTTTCAACTATTTATGTAAATGTATAAGAATATATGGTGCCTTTTTATGTTGATAAATTTTTTTTGTATTTAATTCTACTTTTTTCAATTTATATCTATTAAATTAGTTTATAAAAACTGCAATGTTGTAAAGGGTGATTTTCAAAAGTTGAAAAGTTGCAAAATTTTGGCAAAAAATTGTTTTCACCTATAGCACTCATAACAATTGATTTTTAAGGGTTGAAAATGTATGAAATTGTATTTTAAAGTATAAAAAAATCACTATTTAACTAATCCAAACCAAATTTCACTCATCTTAAGATTTGTAATGTTATTTTACAATTTTTGAAAATTAGGGTAGTTTTCACCCCTAAGAACAATCAGGGTTCATCGGCATGACATAAACTATAAAGCAGAGGGTGAGTTGAGCTTAATTCCAAATTTTTATGCAAATCGTTCCAAGGCGAAATCATTTTCTTCGCATTACTACTTTTTTTACATTAATCTCTAACAAGGGTCGCTTTTTAAGGGTTGAAATATGATGGAACTTTATTCAAAAGCACGAAACTATCATTATTTAATTAATTCAAACCAAATTTTACCCATATTCAGGTTTAATATGTTATTTTATAATTTTTGACAATTAGGGGTAGTTTTCACCCCTAAAACCCTTCAGCGCACTTCGGTTCGATATAGATTTTGATCTTGGGCTATCACCTACCTTCTGTTAAAATTTCAACTCAATCCATGCAGGACGAAAAAATTGCGAAGTTTTAACTTTTTTCGAGCTTCATTTCCTGAACTATTATCGCTTCCTTTACGCAAACAACATTGTTGCGGAGACAGATAGTTGAACGATATTTTATACAATGTCTATAACCCAGGTATGGATTTATTTTTGTCCAAGTTTTATATTGGTCCACTATTTCAAATGCAGTTCAAACAGACATATATTAAATTGTATGATCCGTTTTAAATTTGTTCAATCTGTGTATCAGAAACTAGTTTTGGACGACCCGGCCTTTTACCTTTTTATCTAAGATACTTCAGGTTTCCTTGTAATAATTAATATATTCTACACTGTAGTTTAAAGAATATTAAATTTATCGGCTGTTTTAAGGATTGTTTTATTTAGGCAATAAATTTTTATCCGTAACTCACGAATTTTTGAATTTGTCGAGATACCAGGCACCATTTTATTGGAATAATACAGCGATTCACTCAATGTGGCACGAAAATAATTGTAGGATATATTTTAAAGTTTGTGAGAGTGTCCGGTTGCATTGTTTCTGCATAATTTGTCATATATTTTAAGTTGTCCCATTATATAGTTGTTAGGGCTCGTATATAAAGGGTGTGATAACATAAGTAAGACGGTCGAATATTTCGCGACTTAAACATTTAACTGAAAAAGTAAAAAACGCTTGTTAAATCTCAAAATTGTTTAAAAAATCTATAGAATGATATCAAACACGACTCTCCAACACCCACTAGAGTAGGGAGAAAACAACTCTGAAATCTAAAAAAATGGGAACCCCAATTTTTTATTGCAGTTAGTATTGAGTTGGATTTATCGTAAAAAAATGAGTAGCTTTTGCAAGAAACATTTTTTCGAAACGTTAATAGATGGCGCTGTAATGGAAAAACCATTTATAGAAATATCCTAAGAAAATTAGGGAAACGGTTTAATATTTTGAGAAATACACTTACAAATGAACAAAGACAATAATCGACACATGACGTTTAATAAAGTTTTATTTTATAAAAGTGTTTTAACAAACCTGAGAGTCTCTTCCATTTGTACAATTCAAGTGACATTCACACAGTGCTTTTCTATCCTTTTCTACACATACTGCTCCAAAGTAACAGCTTCTTTCGGCGCAAGTTGACGGATTGGATAAGGACGCTAGATCTGTGGCTAAAATACAGAAAAATTGGAAAATCGTGATATTTAATAAAAATAAAATCGCATGGTCTTAACATTAGTCATTAAAAAGTTGTAGTAGGGTTGTAGTAAATTTAGTCAATATGTCTCGTATACATATAATATATAATTAGGTTTATACCTGAAACACATCCGTTGGGGCCCAAATACTTATTATGGTTTGTACATATTGTACATTTTTGTCCCTGGACTCCCGGTTTACAAACGCACCTTCCGGTCATTTGCTCACAATCATCTCTTACGGAACCAAAAGTTGAGCAACCACAAGCTGGAAAATAAGAAAGATTTTATTACAGTATAATTTACAAATTAACAAATTATTCAAAGTACGTTGCTAGAAGAGAAAATTGGTAATCGTTTCAAATTTGTAATTTCAACACAATCATTTTCGCTTTCAAAGATATAAATAATTTTAAAATTAACGGGTATAGTTGCAGTATGAAATATAGTAGAATGAAGGTTTTGATAGTTCTGCTTTATAGTGCGGCGGCTGGTTGCTTTGGTAATTAAAAGTGTAATTAAAAATATTTAATTCTTACTTAGGTGAGTATATTCCGTTAAAACAGGACATATAGTATGTGCTAGAATTTTTTTTTTACTCTCAGTAGTCTCTAGTCATCGCCTTTCTCCGCCAAGCATATATTTCCACATTTCTCATGTTTTCATCGATGTTATTTAGGAACCCTGTTCTGGGTCTTTCTCTTCTTCTCTGACCAACAGGTCTATAAATGATCGTTTTTCTAGCTGCGCCATTTTATTCCATCTGCATTACATGCCCTATCTACCTCAGACGTCCTATCTTATTTTGTTTTACGATATCTGGCTCCTGGTATATTCCATAAAGTTCAAAGTTGTGTCAAATTCTTTACACTCCATTGTCATTCACCACTTCATATTCGCCTTAGCACTTTTCTTTCGAAACATCCTAACATGTTTTCATTATTTCTTTGTCAGAGTTTAGATCTAGATGCAAACCGAAAGCTAGACGTCTTTAAACGAAAAGTCTCAAGGAATATATTTGGACCTATTAACGAAAACGAAGTAGGGAATTCTAGATACCGGAATGGAGACCGGACGATTGACTGGAAAGAGTCCTAGATAGTGAAATGCACGGTGCAAGACCAAAAGGCCACGGGAAAGGTGGGAGGATAAAGTGGCAGCTGATGCGCAAAATTTTCTAGACGTGAGAACCTGAAGAAGATCGGTGCTAGATCGGCAATGTTGGAGGCATAGTTTAGAGGAGGTCAAGGCTCCATTTGAGCTCTTGCGCCATTGGAGAGAAATAACAAATACACTTTATAAACTAAATAACGAACATAAAAATCATATCAGCTAAACTCGTGCGGAAAAGAGAAAACCTCAGTATTGGAAAGTGAGGACCGTGGATTGAAAAATTATTATTCAAAACCTATTAAATCAATCCTAACGAAATTTAACACACGTTTCTTTCAGTCTTATTATAAAGTTGCCTAAGGCGTGATATAAAGGCTATGCGTTGGGTTGAAAACGTAGAAAAAATTTAAGGAAAAAATTTCATTTTTTGCACTTTTCTTCCAAATTTTTGCCATTTAAAAAAATAAACAACGTTTTCAATTTCTAGTTATCCAAGTCTTATGAAAAATTAAAAAATCGAAACTTTTTCCCTATTTGTAGGAGCAATATTTCTCGAGTTATAGGCGAAATTATGGGGGCAAAAAAGGAAAAAAGTTTTGATTTTTTTTCAGACTTTGTTATATAAAAAATTAAGCAGAAGATTTTAGACTGGCGCATATCGTGATTATTGATACAAGGTACATTCTGAAGTAGTTCCAGCAAAAAATTGGCTCCTATAGAAAATGTCCAATTCAAAACAGATCCTGGACTACACACACAACACTCGTTTCTACAAATATTTATATAACTGTCTGAATTGCACGTTATGAATTCCCTGGATTGCACTTAAGGAATCTGTGAATATTACTGTCAACTTTAGGTGAATTAAGAGTTTGTTGTACTGCCTTGGATATCGCAAAAAGTTTAGCAGAATACATTGAGTAGTCCTTAGGTAGTGGAAAATTGAGCACGAAATCCTCTGTGACAATATCGGATCCTACTGTTTTCAATTCGGGTGTTTTTGCATTCTCTCTTTTGATCTCTATTTTACAACCTTCTTTGGCCATTTAATCAGCTATTAATCTCATTTCCTAGTATCCCCACATAAGATGGTATCCACACAATATGTAATTAATTAAGAGTTTGTTGTATGCCTTGGAAATCGCAAAAAGTTCAGCAGAATATATTGAGTAGTTCTTAGGTAGTGGAAAATTGAGCACAGAATCCTCTATGACAATGGCGGATCCTACTGTTTCAATTCGGGTGTTTTTGATGCATCGGTATAAACTAGTTGACAGGATGAATATTTATTTTTAATATTGTAGAAGTATTGGAGAAAAAGAGATGAAGGGTATTGTCCTTAGTATAAGTTGACAGATCTGTGTTACAATATGGAATTTGTATAGTCCAAGGGGAGCATAATCAATATTGGTATGCATAATACCCGGAAATGTGAAGTTGCTAATTCTTTTGCTAAATGATGGTCGAAGATTAGGATTTTGATTGTAATTAGAATGGTAATGTGTGGAGAAAGCATAGGGTAGGCTGGGTTGTTTGGATTAGTTGATAGCTTGCTTGCGTATTGTAAACTGAGACGTAATCTTCTAATAGAAAGTGGAGATTCATTTGCTTCGACATAAAGACTTTCAACTGGACTGGTTCTGTAGGCTCCTAGAGCTAGTCTTAGTGCGGTATTTTGTACAATATCTAATTTTTTTAATGTTGAGTCCTTAGCTGAATTATATACAATTGATCCATAATCTAATTTACTGCGGATTAAGGATTTGTAAATATTTAGTAGCTGTGTTGTGTCTGCGCCCCAGTTATGATTTGCTAGTACTTTAAGAATATTTATGTTCTGTAAACATGAATTTTTAAGTAATTGGATGTGTTTGTTCCAAGTAAGTTTTGAATCAAAAATCATACCTAGAAATCTAAGTTCCTCAACGTTTTCTAAAACTTGATCATACAGTGTTAATTTTGGAAGATTTGCAACAATTTGATGTTTTCGAGAAAAGCACATTACTTTGGTTTTAACCGTAGAAAATTTCAGTCCTGTTGTTTTAGACCATTCTTGTAGGGAATTAATAGAAAGTTGAATAATGTTTGATGCCATATTAAGATTCTTATGAGAAATATAGATTACGAGGTCATCTGCATATAGGATTGCTTTAACAGGGTTTCGGATACTGTTCTCGATATCGTTAATTGCAACTAAAAAGAGTGTTGCGCTTAGTGTAGATCCTTGGGGTATGCCATTTTCTTGTGTATAGTATTCTGAAAGTTCCTGATTTGATTTAACTCGGAAATTTCTGTCATCTAGAAAATTTTTGACGAATGCTAGAAAATTTCCATCTATGCCCAATGCTGTAATTTAACAATAACGTCATATTTCCATAAAGTATCATAAGCTAATAGGAAAATATGGATATGGTGTACGAAACGAAAGAGGGACAGCCCTGATGAACTACATGGAGGAAAGGAAACTCTACGCCATGAACTTCTTTTTCAACAAGAAGCCACAGAGAAAATGGACCTGGATAAGCCTTAACACCAAAACTAAGAACGAGATCAACTACATATTATCAACACAAAAATACGTAGTCAAGGATGTCACAGTGCTAAACCGATAAAACCGAATTGTGAAGGCTAAGATACAAATTAACAGCCAATTTGAAACCAGACAGAAAATCAAAAACGTACAAAAAGTAGATATGGAGAAACTTAACCAAAACGAAGAAAAGTACAAAGAAGAAATAAAAAAATGCATGCCAAATGTAACCGACTTAATAAATAAAGAAACAAACGAAATAAATGAAATACTAACAACTACATTGCTACAGGCCGGGGAAAGAATTGCAAAATCGACGACAAAAAAGGACAATTATATTTCAGAAGATAGTAAGAAGAAACCTACTTGAACACAGCAAAAGAAAACATACATAAAATCAATAAAACAATTAGAAAAAAACATAAAAGAAACCAAGAGAAAAACGCAGGAAGCAAAGATTGAAAGAGTAATTCAGCAGAACAAAAATATGAAATGCTTAAAATAACGACTCGGTAAAACTCAGATAAATGAAATGACAAACAGCGAGGGAACAACCATTAATGATATGAAACAAATAATAAAGTTAATAAACACAAGAATACTATACGCACCTATACAGAACAAGACATAAACCACAGCAAGAAATTCTTAAACAATTAAACACAAAAATAAAGAATATAAACTCTGACCTACAACCAGAAATAAGTAAAACAGAAATCAAGAAAGCAACTCAAGAATTAAAAAACCTTAAGTCACCTGAAAAAGATAGAATAACTGCAGAGATGCTGAAGAGAGGAGGGAAAACAACTAGAGAAGTCCTACATATCCTTATGAACAAAATATTGACCACAAAAGAAATACCCGATAGCTGGAACGATGCGGAGACACTATTAATGTACAAAAAAGGTGACCGAAAGAACGAAAAATACTGATTGAAAAGTCGAACAAGTATCAAATCCCATTATACATGGCATTCATAGACTTCCGAAAGGCGTTTGACAGCATAGAACATTGGGCCATCAAAACATCACTACAGAACGGCAGAATTGATTACAGGTACACGGACCTAATAACAAACATATAAAAAATGCGAGTATTACAATAAAATTGACGAACGAACACGCTACAGAACCAATAAAATTCGAAAGAGGAATCAGGCAGGGAGACACAATATCACCAAAATTGTTCAATCAGACTACGGAAGACATATTTAAAAAATTAGAATAGGATACATACGGAATAAGAATAAATGAAGAGCTCTTGAACCACTTGAGATATGTACAGATGGATTATCTATTAAAATTTTCTCAAATCTACCGCATAATATTTTGGAGGTCATGGTCTCGCTAGTAAATGATTCCCTTGAAAAAGGTACATTCCCTAACTGCCTAAAGACTGCCATCGTCATTCCTCTTCATAAAGGTGGAGAAAAATCTGATGCCTGCAACTATAGACCTATTGCCTTGTTACCAGCACTATCAAAAATTATTGAAAGACTTATAAAAGTTCGACTTATGCCCTTTCTCCTTAAATATAATATTTTATCGCAAAATCAGTTCGGCTTTTTGTCTAATAAATGCACTAGTGATGCCATATTTTCTGTGTTACATGATGTATATCTATCA